ATTTTCCTTGACTCATTCTCCAACCTACTGAATGCACTCTTCACTGCTTGAAGTGATCACCCTGCAATGACCACATCGTCAGCATACGCGAGCAGTTGGGTCATTCTGTGCAATATTGTTCATCCGTTCTTTAATCTTGCCCTTCTCATGATGGTCTCTCAGGCAATATTAAAGAGGAATGGGGCTAATGAGTCACCTTGCCTAAGGCCCGAACAAACTGCAAAGAAGTCGCCAATTCTTCCTTTCACCTTAACTCTACTTACGGTGCCTTCCATCATTGTTAAATATTATATATATATATATATATATATATATATATATATATATATATATATATATATATATATATATATATATATTCTCAACCCCTCTTTCAATGCAGTTTTGAAAAATACTTTTTACCTCCGCTCGAGTATTTAGAAAAAATACTGTAAACACAACACAATTAATTATGCTATGTAAATGATTATACCATGTTCATGTACTATGATGTTGTGAGTAGTGCTCTCTATGGGTATGTAGACATGTGATGTTATATTTTATTGCTCTGGTCAAGCCTTAATGCGTAAAATTTTGATCACATAATTACTGCTATCAGAAGAATAAAAATTTGTTATTTAATTACTTCAATAATATACATTTGTGTTCTTATTTTATATGTTTAAACTAGTTTAAATTTATTATTGCAGGGCTTGTGTGACACAGTTTTTGGCGTGTCGGTCGTCGTGCAGAACAACGATGTGTTCGTGAATAACCAAAAAGTCGATCTAACCAAACTACAAGTGATCAAGGAAACAGACATGTACAAGAAATATGTGCTACACTCTGGAGAATCCACCATCACCATCACCAAAATGAAAATCGGCAATGGCATTTCTGTCAATTCGGTTGGCCCGATGACCCCTGAGGAAAAGAAGAAGATGGAGAAGATGCAGAAGGATATTGAGGAAGACGTAAAGAAAAAAATTCATAAAGTCAATGAGGATATCAACACGATGAGCCAAAAAATCAAGGAGAATATTGAGAGAATGAACAAAGAAATTCACAGTTTTATTTGGCAGTTCCCCCCTTGGTTTTAGATAGCCTGTGTTTAACAGGATATTAATCGAGCTGTTAACAAATGTTTGAAAAATAATATATATATGAGGTTATGAATTCCAAGCTTGATAAATGAAGTCATATATCTTAATAATAATAATAATAATAAAATTAGATAATTTAAAATATTTTCTGTGATTGCTGTGTTACAAACTAGACCTGGACAAAATGCATTTTAAATATTTAAATTACAATGTATTTTTTGTTTATAAAATACTTGAATTGTTTTCAGAAATAATACAATAAGATAGATAAAATACAAAATACTAAAATTATTTTTATTCTAATTACAAAAAAAAAATATTTTCTAGTGGATGATCAGCATATAATAAAGAGAACCTACTCTATTTGGTTATTTATTTTATTTGTTTAAAATACATTTTTTGTATTTTAGTATGTTTGAAATGAAATACAAATACTTTTTTATGTTTTCAAAAGAAAATACATTATATTTTACTTTTTAAAATACAATAAATGCACCTTATTTTGTATTTTAAAAAACTTTATTTGAAATACTGCCCAAGATTGGCACTGTTGACCGATATTGGTGGCTACTATACTATTTTACTTCAAGCCTTAGCTTTATAACATTACCAATAAAATAAAATTGAAAATGAATAATTTGCTCTTTGATTGTATGAGTACCATGTGTTAGCAACCCTCTATGCCTCCTAAAGAGAACAATAAGTTCCATAACGTTACCTCTTACTCCCTCTCAGTCACATTTATCATACTGAACAATAACCTGGTCAAATCGCAACTGAAAACAGTTAATTTATGTTTTCTCATGATCCATCCTCTTGGGAGAATAGTCATTTCTATTCATTCTTCAGAAAAAAGGTAATTGTTACAAGCAAGATGGTCCGAGCAGGCACAGGTGGATCTATGCAGAGAGGAGAGGAGGGAGGTGGAAAGTGGGTCTTTCGGCCTGAATTCCTCCTCAAAATGGTAAAATACATCCGTGTCTTACGAAAAAATATTATCTCTAAAAAGTATTATTGTTTGTTAATTACAATTGAAAGGACTTCAAGAATCACTTAAACACCGTATCTTATAGGTAGTTAGTTTCTTTCTTTTTCCTTCACAGTATGATTAAATAAATATCAAGTTTCTTAGTGATTATTTATTTAAAATAAACACAGTACAGGTATAAAAAAATTTTAATTACAATAATATAACTTTGTACAATAAAATAAATTAAGGAATGGTAATTTCCAAAAAAATACTTTTTAATTCATTTCAATATAAACGATAAATTACTGACAAGTATACAACAGCTATTAAATTAATGTAAAAATATATATGACTAGCGATAAATATTATCTTATTATATTAAATACTCTTTCATAATAAATATATCTATCTATAATTGTATATATTTATATACATATAAATATAATAACTTACTGTTGATAATGACAGTCACTTCGTTCAAATCCTTATTTCCTCTTTCATAATAATAATATTCAGAAATTTGTTATCAAAGCCATTGCTTCAGGAATCATTCTAGTTTTCTTATTTCTATTAAACTTAATTATATTGGAAAAATATTTATCCACTAGAATACTGAAAATAATAAGATAAAATATTTAATTAAATTATTCGTTATCACAAATTGAATAACATTGTCTCGACAATTCCTCATATCAATTTCTGTTCTGTTACTTCTTCAATATTACCAGCTACTTATTCATTCTGACGAGGATTAACCAAAAGTGTTTCAAAAGTGATGGTGTGATCATTATTGAAGCCTTTAACTATGTTGGCCAAAACGACGGATCGAATAGAATTAATATTAGTATAATAATAAAACTTTAATAATTTTTTTAATACTAAGAATATTATCCACCTTGATCCAGCTTTTTTATGCATTAAAATCATTAAATTAAATATGCAACAGAAATACGAGTGTGAAAGTATTAAATTAAAATAAATAAGTAGATATAATTGACTTTTTAGAGTTTATTTGGAGTATATATTACCAGGAATCAGTCCAAGTTACTTTAAAAAACAAGATTAAATTTGTTATCATACATTCCACTTTTTTTGGTTCGAATATCAAATACAGTGGACCATCTCCACACCACAATATAGTTATATTTCTTTCTAAAAAGGTTGTACAAATTAGATATTTTAAATCAAATTTCAGCTTTATATTTTCTCATTTATGGAATCAAAGATTGGAAAAAATAATATAAAAAATGGGTACTGACAAATGCTTATTGCCTGATATCTGTTTTAATGACAGACAAGAAAGAGCACAAAAGAAACGTCTGCTTGTGAATAGGAGTAAAAATCAAATGTTGGTTTTAATCCATAGGCGTTCACTTATTTCAAAATATATTATAGAAAAATACGTTTTATAAGTTAAAAAAAAAGTTATCAAAATATTTTAACAAAATGAAAATTGGTACGGTTGTATCTAAATATATGAGAAATAATTCAGGAAAGCTGCTCAAAATAAACTTAAAATATAGATAATTATACTTAAAAAATAAAATAAATACAAATAATCTGAACTACAACTTGTGGGTTGGGGTCTAGAGTTGAGCGACCAACTGATTTTGAACAATGGTGGTATGGATGAGTATGAGACCTGGCTCCCAGACGATGTCACACCCACGATTTCCCTCAACCCACAGAAGAGTAAGGTACCCAATTATAGAGGCTGGATGTGCCCCAGTGGGGTCTCCTGAATCCATGTTGAAATCACAGCTGATATAGCAAGACAAATAATTATCTGGCAGAGCTGGACTTGAACATGGAGATGTATTCCGATTACAAAACAAATATATTCCAGTCTTTGGGAATCAATATTCAAGAAATATACATACATAAATTCCTCAATTTCATTGATTTAAATGTTTCAATTTACCACGAATTTCAAACATAGAAAAATAAATTTCAAGAGAAAATGTAACAAAGACAATTCAAGTACCACATGAATTATTATTTTATTTAGAAAATAAAAGTAATAATAAATCACACAAAATGTAGGGAACAAAAATGTACCAAAAATGGGGTCTTCTTAATTTCTTTGATCATCCTTAGAATCATTATCATGATAGCAATAGTTTGCCTAAATATTATATGACGGGGAAAGTTTGCATACTATTTTGTAATATATTAGAAATAATTAAGAGAAGAATAGTTGGGATGATCAGTCAAATAAGAAGGCAAAAATAACTGATAATATTTAAATATGGTGAATTAATATAAATATATTAATGATAATAATATTAAATATTATCATTTATTTTTGCCTTCTTATTTGACTGATCACCCTAACTATTCTTCTCTTCATTATTCACGACAGTCAACCATTTACCCATAATTAGAAATAATTATTCAAGAACGCTTACTAATTCAGTCTTCATTAATAATAATCGAGTCGGCCAGAAAATACCCATATGGTGATTATGAATCTTGCCATGGTAAAGAAAGTAGATTTGTTAAAAATATTGTATAAATAAAAAGAAACTTTGTATGAGGGAAATGGTCAATTTAAGTTAAAAATTTGTGAATTAATATAAAATTCTAATATCTCTCCTCTTAACAGTTAAGTATTCAAAAACATAGGGATAAATGGGTAGAGTAAATAAAAGTGAAAGAATTTATATTAATTTATAAATGAATATTAAAAAAATCATGACCGTCCAAAACGAAAAAAAAACTTTCAGATATTAATTTATTCTTTGTTTAATTTTTTATTTTCTCCTTCTTGGCCCAACAGCGGCGACATCGGTCCAAGAGAGTGGTCACATATCAAACTAAAAATTATGCCTGTTATATCTAGAGATATAATTGTTTTGTAGCACAACCGTTATTATCGAAGGCAGGCACCACTGCCTGCATCATCATCTTAATTGCCTGGCGGGCTCACAGCGACACCTTTGCACGTCCTTCACAAGCTTCATGTTTCTGGCAAAAGGTAATGGCCTGCGTAAACATTTTATAATATCCTTCAGCAATTTAACATCAGGTACCAGAAATGTTCCAATTAAGAAAATTCAGTTGTGTGCCTAAATGATTGTTCAGACAAATAATTTGACATTATTAAGGTGAACTTTAATGATATCCTGAAGCACTACTTCTTTATAATACAATATTCAAGAGAAAAATTAAACTTTATGAATACTGTTTACGTATATATATATATATATATATATATATATATATATATATATATATATATATATATATATATATATATATATATATATATATATATTAGGATTTGAATCGAATTGGCTTCTACCTCTTTGAAAGTTGGAGTAAACCTTTCAAGAGATATTGGCTACGATATAGCTACTTCGTTACTAGCTACTAGGTACTTACCAACAATATCCAAACAGCCTGGCTCAGTCCTAAAAATTGTCTTTTCCTTCTTTTCTTCAAAAATCTTTCCAAAAATTTATAATTACAATATTTCCTCTAAAAGCATTAAAATACCTTCCAAAATAATACAACCGTCAAAGTTGCTATACAGAATCTTAAAACAAAGAATGGGAAAAATATATTAATATTAATTTTAAAAAATCAGAAAACAAAGCAGAGAGACCACTTTGGTTTCCACACCTGTTGGCTACTTGCTGCACCTACTCTCAATCAATCAAAACTTTAATGCAGAAACTGTTTGTTTGCCTTCAGATGAAAACATATTTTTAAGAAAAAACCTCCTTGTACCGTATGATTAAGAAGAAAAACTTCTTGGTACAGCACGATTAAGGCACAAAGTTCAGCTTATCTCAACCATAGTAGCCTCTCTGATTCGTTATAATCACTTATGTCATGACTTTAAATAATTGTTTTAACTTAATAATTAATTAGGTAACTTGTACATGGTCTGTCTTTAAAATAAAAACTAGAATAACAAAAAATAATTACAACAATATGATAGATTCAAAACATGGCTGCTTAAATGAAAGAACAAGACAAATAATAGCGCAAAATTGACTCAAATATTTCAATAAATGAGGCGAATAAATGCCACAAATTGACTCGAATATACTCACTCATTAATAAAGCTAATAAAAAGAGAATTTCATAATCCATAAAAAATCTACAAGACTAAATATCTAAATAAAAGTTACATGAGCTATTAGTTATAACTGACTAAGGGATTTCAGGATATATAGCATTTCATGCCCAACCCTTCATCACTAAATACTTTTCTAGTTTCAATGGTCTATAATACTTTAAAATGAGGAATGTCAATATTTTTAATTGTACAAAAGTTATCGACAACCATTTTGAGGAATTAAGAAAAAATTTACTCAAAATAAAAAATTATCTGTAATATTGTCATATTTCGACTTGTCAAAGTCATTTTATCGAGATATTAGTTGAGAAACTTTCAAATAGGCCGAGATTAAAGTAAACAAGACGCCTAAGATCCAGCAAGTCAGCAGGAAACTGAAATCTGAGTAGAGGACTCCTTTCAGCAAGAAATTCGGAGAGCGGTGGGTATTTTTGACATCCTACAACAACCAATCAAAAAAAGGAACTTAAACTATAAATTAAAATTCTTCTGAGCTCCTCAGAGACAAAAAAGTGAAAATTACGATCCTGCGACGTTATCAACATTTTTCCCATTATAAAGGCTCTATTCATCGACTACTGATACATATTTATCATTGTGAAAAAAAAGATATTAAAAATATAGCTTGCGGATAAATGTCAACTAAATGTAGTTGTTGTAAGTTGGCGGTATCAACGGAATCCTACTTAATAAAAAACAGAGGGATCAGAGGCTCTATTGACCGATCTCTAGATTTTGGTCAACCTGTGAATTCTGGTCAGTTCTGATCTGGAGACAGATCCTCATTGTCACTGCGAGGAGCAGAAGTGGTCTCAGAGACTCTCTTCGGGATGTTCATTGCTGCGGGCAGAAAAAAAAAATTGAAAAATTGAGTCATTGTCTAAACTACAAAGCAATAAGTAAATTTAACAGTGATGACATTGAAGATGAAAATGTTAAGATGATGACTGATACTAACGGAGATGTAGAGAGGACTCGGAAGACTTGGGTGGCACAGGTGGGGGCTGACGGGGCAAGTGCCAGTCTTCAAAATTTAGAGCTGACGACAGTCTCTCGGAAAATCCAGAATCGCGAACGGCAAACTCCTCTTGTTCCTAAGTGAACACAGTAAACAGAAACCTAGTCTAAATTAAAATAAATAAAATAAAAATTTAACACAAAATCTGCGACATCATAAAAATTACCTTTCTACCGACGACCCTCTTAGGAGGAGCAGGTGGGACCTCACCGTTCCTCTTATCTATAACTAATAAAAAAAAAATTACAAATATTTTTTTTAATCTAGTTTTTGTACATCATTTCTCAAAAGTATTTTCAACAGTACACAGTATCTTTGATAATTCATTAAATCTAATAATTGAGCCACCATTTTGAAGATCATCTTCTTCAGGTAGGAAGAATTTCAGTTAATTATTTTGAATGAAAATTAATTCCCCCCTCTCATGATCCATTACATTTCCATATTGCCAATTGTTCATTGATCAATTCATTATATGAATTATTCACATTAATTATATTTATGGAAGACATATTAGCAATAATAAAAAATGTGGGAAAATGTATGATTAAACAAGTGAGACATGCAAGTTGAAGTTAAAATCTCCAAGAAGAAGTGATAGAATAAGATTAAATAATTAATAGTTATTTCGTGTATCTGTTCCAGACTTTTATTATTATAGCTCTCAAAGCTCTTATTACCATAATTATCACTCAAATGCCATTATGACACTAAAAGGAGAAGTACTTAATAAGAATCAAGATAACATACTCTCAAGTAATATACAAAAAGAGATATAGATAAAAGAAGAAAGAAGAATGAAGAAGAGCCCCAGCCCAGTACCCTAAACACTCCTTGCCTACACTTGTACAATATTGGCCCACGGTTAGTTGAAACCACAAGTCGGCACCAAATTGTAATAAACAAATTATGAGAAGCTGAAGATAAAAGTGAAAACCCGAGAAATGGAAAATGTTTTACTGAGATTACTTGACTACTGTACAAAGTAAATGGGACAAGAAATTGAACCAATGATCGAAATCAACTAACTAAGAACTAATCAGCCATAGTGGCAGTTTGAAAAGACTTCCTTCGCTATCTAGAGTAGGCATTAAACCAAGACTTGATGCTTCTGATGCTTGTTATTTTCTTGAGAAACAATAATGAGAGAAGAGTACTCACTGGAGCCCCTCGGTGGGAGTGGGGGTGCTTCCTCTGGCTCCTGAGAGCTCTGGCTGACAGCGCTGACGGTCGAGCGCTGCGACAGGCTCCGGCTCAAGCTGCGGCTGCTTCTGGAAACAATAATCATGTTCGATATTTAACAAATAAAATATATCATCTGTCTACTTGTAAAGAAAAGAAATTGGATAATTTTTACCGCAGTGCAATCAGAACATTGCGCACCTGAAGTTAATAAATTTTGATTGCACTCGTGAATAATTTATTATTACAGGTTCACAATCCATAAACAACGATATTGTATTTATAACAACAATTTATTGTAATTAAAATTTTTACTATATTATCAATATTTATTATACTGTGTAATAGGTAGAATATATATATTATTCTTTAAATTTATTATATTGTATTTATTATATTTTCAATATTTTCAATATTAAAAGTTAAAAAATAAGTTGAAAAATCAAAAGAAAGGAGGAAAGAAGAGCAAGTTAATTTTTTTTTTCTTTAATGAAGTCATTGGTATCAAAAGATTAATAATTAAAAGTTGTTTCTTTCCAAGATGTTAAAATGTGAAAAAAATATCAGTACAACAAATATTGTCATTAAATTTAGTTTTTCACATTCTAAATCCCTGAAAGAATACAGATTTTCATTCTGGATTCATTTAAACCAACAACTCCATTTTTCCCCTTCACTTCCATTTCAACACAAAACAAAAAATTTGGTGAGCGCAACACAACTTTCACTTACCACCCTACTATGAATAGAAATTATTTTCTGGCCATGTTGGGCTATTATAAAATTTTTGAATTGCATTTTTAACCGAGCTGAAGCTAAAATCTTAAAGCTTAACAAATCATAAATACTATTAAAATAACAAAAGTCCTACTTATTGTATCACCGGATGATTGTGGATTGTACGAACTGTTGATTATGGATTATTCCAATTAACCGGATTATTAAACCGTTATTTTTCATTGCAAAGTTTAGTAAAACTGAATTAAGAGATTTGCATTGTCAATCATAGACAGGTCAAAAGTTGTTAAACTAATGATAAGTGGATATTGTTGGAATTTCACAAAGGGAAAATTCATGAAATTGTTCACTAATTTAATTTTCTAAAAGGTTACATGATGATTTTTTGGAATAAATGGACGATAGATACCTACTTATTTAAATATAATAACAGATCTAGAGTTTTTAAACTACAGTAAATATATTTAAGATTATAAACACATATTATATATTTTTATATTCCACTTCTTCTTTCACATCAGTACATTGAAATAGTATCTTAAACAATGTCATTGCCTTGAATCCCTGGATTTTAAATATTATTTCAAACTTAATAAAAAATTTTAAAGTTTACATTTAGTAAGTAAATTTCATTTAATTTCCTTGGAAACATGTGATTTACATCAAATAATGTTATTTCTTGGAAATAATTCATATTTTTTTCACCAATCCCCGTTACTGTCTATAACTTTCTATATTAGATATTGTTTTTTTCTAAAATTCTCAGCATTCCAACGATATATTATACCTATACATTCTGACTAGTATTTCTGGAGATTCATTTTCGTCCTGAGTAAGCATTTTTAAATTTTTTCTCCTTTATTCAATTATCAAATTCTTTCAAGAATTATATATAGCATTTTTTTGTAACTGTTAATAATGAGAGATAGTTAATTATTTAAAATAAACCATATCAAAGGTACTTTAGAGAATGACGTATATGAACATTAGGTATTTAAGCCCTGTAAAGTGACATCAATAGGGATAACAACTAAATGATATTAAAGACTACTTAATTATACAATGATACACCGAGTTCAATCAAAATCATTAGAGCCGTTTATTAGAAAATTATAAACTTTCACAAAGTGGCATACACACAGACACACAGATCATTTTGCAGGACTTGATTATTTGGACTCAGGTGACCTCAAAGTGTGTATTTCTGTTGAAGACTCGTATTAAAAAATGTTCACGATCGCAATACTTTCCCTTAATATATATTAAATATATAGGTAAGTGAAAGTAAAAATTGCTAACTTACAATATCTTTGAAGGTGACATGGATATTTCACTTAATTTATCAATAAGTCGATGTGGAGGAAAGAGTGGTAAAGCTATAAAGGGCATAGCGAGCAGCGACTAATGTAAAAAGATTTTAGTTTGTCCGTGATTGGAAAGTAGTTCCCCAAAACTGCAAAGTAGAAGTAGAAGTAGTAGCAGGGACGACGGAAGCTCATCGAGCAATAACAAATTAATATTAATTTAGAGCGTGCGTAAATATTCCACATCATATTTTAAAACTTCAAAATAAGCAAACAATATCAATAATTAAATGAAGGATATTTTAACTACTCCATTTTAAGAACAGAATACCTCTCAATAGAATTGGCTGCGTAAGACTTCGGTCTGAGAGGAAGGGATGGTACCTCATTGATATCACCGGACTCAGCGACTTCCTGAAACATTTTAATGACAATTTATTTTTTAAAAAATCAAAAGACTTAATACTATAATCATTATATCATTATATGAATAGGTAAAGAAAATACCAAAACACTTAATAGTAAATACTATAATCATTATATCATGTAAATATTCCTTCCGCTTTTACAGGGATAATAGGTACAATAAGAATATATGAAATGTGGGACTTATTAAATACACTTTAAATGAATTGACTCACCTAGTTTGTTATTCTTCAATTGTGAGGCATATAGGACAATTAAATAAAATGACTTTTCACTCCTATATAATAAAACAATTTAGTTTACAACTGTAATAAATGAATGTATAAAAGTCTTATAACTGTAGGCTTGATATTCTTAGTCTTCAATTTAGTAGGCTTCTCTTCTCCGATAACGTCGTTCCGATAACGTCTTAATGTCCCAGCCTCAACTGCCTTCTCTCCTCTCCTCCGGCGTCCTCCTCCAGCTGTGGCTACCTGCTCCTTCCTCTTCCAACCTTCTTTCTTCATCGATTGTTTATCAATATGAGACTTTTCAATAATAATTTCTCCACTGCACAATTGAGTACAATTCATCGTGCAACTTCACATTCCTATATATTCCTTCTCATTCCCTCACACAATGTCACATAAAAGAGTAAATACAGGGAGCTATCTAGTACAATCATTATATGAATAGGTAAAGACAAAACAGTTAAGTACCTTTTTCTCCTCTGTTGACAATATTTTATTTATTAATTATTGACAAGTTTTAGTTTTGTCAATAAAAAATTTTTGAATGCAGTTTATATGAATAAAAATGTAAAAGTTCTTTTGTTCAAAACTGCTAATATTGGAAAGTCATTCAATCAATTGCTTTGAAATTTTTATACAAATTCAGGAGTATTTTTACATACATTTCATTACCATCTGGTCTTTTGTTTTGAAATGGCAGCCAAACAGTGTGTATCGTTATAGACAATAGCGCCAATACCACAGTAACGTTTTTAATGAAACTTGACTAAAGTGTTCTCCTTGAAGCCCTCTTAAATTATATATGTAACATACTTCCCCAAAAAGTTTCTGAAAAAAGTAACGATGGATTCTGAATTTTATTTATGTATAAATCAAATTCTGAACTGTTTTGTGTCGCAAGTACAAATAAAATGCACATATAAACTTTATGTTGTCACATATAAAATAAACAACTCTATAATAGAAGAAAAAAAGTGCAGAAAACATGCAAATCTACTTATGTTTTTCTCATACTTTAAAAAATGGTCAAGTTTCGACCTCTCAACAAACACAAGTATTATTTAAATGATTATCTTAAAAATCATAAATACATTAAAACTAAGTCCGACACACAAATACATTAAACTAAGACCAACACACCTGAGGTTGGGAGTAAACGTCATTGGCCAGCTGGCAGTAGGCGGAACTGTTTGTGTACTCTTCTCTACCGTCGGAGCAAGACAAGGAGCACGTCCTGATGGAAAAGGTTATGTCAATCTAGTTGTTATAATATCTGTTATACGGTATAAAGTAACAACAATTAAGTTACCCAAGAAGAAGCCGAGGAGGAAGCGACGCTAAGGAAATCTTGATCTGCGCCAGCCTCTCGAGGAGGCGCTGATGAAGAGGTTGCATGTCAGGCGGTGCCAACTGACCGTGAAGGGTTAGTCCACTCTCCAGTATCTCCACCTGAAAGCAGGGGGGGGCTATTGTTTATAAACAATAATAAATAACACTAGACTTGATCAAGAGTCTTTTGGCATAATTAAAAGTAAGAGAAAAGGAAGACAAAAGTCTAGTTGCTAATTAATAAAATGTTATTCCCTCTTAGGCCCCTTTCCCACCGAAGATGCATGCGTCCTGGATGCTGGATTGCATCTCGATGAAAGAACTTTCACACCAAGGATGCATGTGCCTCTTGCATCTTCTATTTATATCCTTTATCTCTGTTAGTTTAGTACGTGAGTTTGAAAGATGAATAATCAATCATCCGACTCTTCATACGACGGAATTACAATTCTGGCTTGTACAGTAAGAAGAAGACGAAGACAAAGAAGAAATCTTGTATGGATGCAACCATACTGGAATAATGATGGAGATTATAGCCCTACTATGGTGTCTCAGAAATTACTGAACCATCCAGTTAAGTTTCAGGCGTACTATAAAATGGAGATTTCGACCTTTAACAAGTTGTTGGATCTCATGGAACCGTCACTGAGTTGTCGTTATATAAATTGTCGGTTGTGTGTATCTGCGAAAGAAAGACTAATCATATTTATGAGTAAATAACTATATTTTCCCAGGAATGATATAACTCATTTTTTAAACATGTGAATGTAGCTCAAAACTGAAAACATTACTTAGGAATATTTTGTACAGCATTATTTATTAAAAATATCAATACCACATCTTGTGGAGAGGGGGAAGAATAAATGTTAGCTTATAATTGGAAAACTCCAACCTCACAGCTTTGAGTCTTTAAAATGCAGATAAAGAATAAAATAAGGCGTCAACGATTCACCAATTCAGGCATCATCAGGACAGAAAAGAAAAGAACTCCTAGGCCACACCACAAGGCCACACCACAAGGTCACGCCACTTCATGGCATTCACTCGTCATTTCAATAGAAAACAATTACTAATGATTTATTGAAATGTTGGCATAAAATTTTAAATCTCCCATGGTAATAACAAGAAAAAAAGGTAAAAACATATAGAGAAATAGTTGAAAATCAGAGGAATTATAAAAAAATCTACAGTTAAAAAAAAAATTAAACAATAGATAAAAAAAAGAAAACAATAGTCGAAAATAAAAAGCAATTGATAGAAACATCAATCACAAGAGCTTAGAAAAAATTGAGAAGGGAGAGTGTAGACCGAACGTTGGCTGTGTTAGCCGACCAGACCCAATCATTGCTCCTCCTCAAAATTATTTTGCTTGATGGAAGGGGCAAGTATGCAAGACCAGCACAACAAAGATGCCCGCTAAAAATCTGCAGCCGGCTGATTCCCATCCAGGCTGCAAGATGCACTTGCAACTTCGGAGTGAAAGCTCTCTCTCTCTCTCTATTACACAGCCCAGTGTTTAAGATATATGCACCCTGCATCTTGCATTTCAGTGTGAAAGGGACCTTACAGTTGCTTATAGCTACTTAGTTTGGGAAGAAATAATATAAAAATAGTATTTTTCTTTATTCCAAGTAGAAAATAAATATCATACATACGAAAATTAAAGAGAGTATCATTTGATTAAAATAACCGCTAATAAAACTCTCATTTCATTACAATCCATAAAATCAAATATGAAATTCTGACAAAGTAAACTATTGATTACTTTTAATTTATAAAGAAATCTGGATAAGGTACTTGATAGTACAGTTCATTGTTTCTTCAACAATGATTATACAATGTTATAAGATTGGTACCATCTTCTTCCTAATTCTATTATCATTTCTTGTAATAAATTTAATTTTTCAACTCTTTACGCATTCTAAATCGATTGTGTCTTGGAGGCCAACAATTGGAATAAAACTTGCCCTTATTTTGGCTTTAATGGGTTAATAATAGGAAGTATAAGCTATACTTCCTGCCAAATTTCAATTAGAGAAAAGCATTAAACCAAAAAATAAGTAAAAATTCTGTAAATATTTTTGAATCGTTTTAACATTTACATTGGTTATCATAGAAATTGAGAATGATTTTATTTATTAGCTAGTGACTGACTAAATATAAAATAAAGACCTGCTCTTGAAGTAGACGTGCCAGCGCGGCAGTGTGGCACGCAGCGTTTGGGTTCTCGACGACAAACTGGTCAGTGAAGAAGGCTTCCTGGTATTTCGCTATACCTCCCATTACTCCAGCATCGATCACTCCCTACAAATAAATTTATCAGTATTAATTACGAATTAATTGAACAAAGAAATAAAATAAATAATTAAAAAGACATATATGATATAATACGACTTACTTGTAACCTCATTGACAGCGGGTTAGTGTGGAGCTTAGGTTCTGCAGTGTACCGTCCAATGAGAGAGGCCAATTCACGATTAACGGTGCTGACTGTCTCGCAGGCGAAGACGACCGGGGCCACCTCCTCGGTGACGGTCGACATCACTTCGGACCACCTCAGGATCCCTGGTAGCGGAGAGGCAGTGGTCAGCGTTGTACGCTCCAGCCACAATGACTGAAATTGTTCAAATAAATATTTAGGAATATATAAATTGATAATCTATTAACACAGCCATTTCATGTTAAATTTATTAGCAAAACTATAGTTTTAAAAAACAATACATGTCTGTACTAGCATAAAAAAAAAGAAACCAATGTTATTATAGTTGTAGATAACTTTTAAAAAATGAGGAAATACATTATTTTTATAACTCAGAATATCTGTTTAATAAATTTAGCATTGGGCCAGCAGCTAAAAAGTTTAAACATTGTAAGGTATAAGCAAAAGTTACTCAGTGCACCCAGAATGTGACTTCGGAAAGGGCTTCTCCACCTTCCATTGAAACATGAATTAATAAATATATATAATTTTACATTTTATTTTTCTTCATTTATTCATCTTTCAAAAATGACAATTTATTTTGGAAAATTGAAGGTTATAGTTCTTTAGAAAATTTGGGGATTAGGAATTGTGTGACAAAGATGGTAAGCTAATTCATGCTAAGGAGCCAAACAGTCAAGAGGTAATTTGGAAATATTTTTTTCCTACTTTAAAACATTTACTTAGACAAAAAAGTAAACATTTCGGAGGTTAATAAAATGGTGTCACTTATAATAAATAAAAGTAACCAATAAACATAAATGTGGATATTTGTACCGTCACTATTTCTGGCAATTTTATCTTTTCTCCTTTGACTTACTCTACAAAAGGTTATAACTGGTTTCATAAATCCTAAAAAAAGATTCCTTATGGGTGCTTTTCTTGTGATAGTTATTAAAATCAACAGGAAGATAATTGTTAAGAGAACATTAACATGGTCGTTTTGTCTGGGAATTTCTCTAATTAATAATTAAGACCAAACATGCTAAATCTAGGTACACTTACTGGGCTTTGACATAGCTCCAAGAGCAAGGAAGTATCGTGCATGAATCTCGATCTCAATGTTTGTATTTCATCAGTTAACATTAGACAGTTTAATTTATTATTTTGACTATTATTTTTAAGAATCAATTACAACTTATCAATTAGAACGCAGATCAAGAAATGCTAATTTGTTTCTTCATTACATACTGAATAAGATTAGTCTCCATAATTATTTCTATTAGCCTAATCAATTCAATTCTAATCAATTTCATCATAGTTAATTATCATGTTAAGAATATGTCGAAATTTCAAACGCAAGTGTTACCTTGAATTCATTATCTTTGTCAACAGGCGGCTTGTGTACTGGCCGATCCAATTGGAACTGGCGAACATCATTCACCTGCAATAACAACAAAGAAAATATAAAGAAAATTTTTCCTTCAGCTTATATCTATTCCACTTGCTGAACAAAATGGCAACTGCAAAAGTACCTGATAGAACCTGGAAATCTTCTCCGGTACAGGGCCGAGCGCCTCCTTTCTGTAAGGCAGCCTCGACTCCGGGATCGGCTTAACGTTGCAGATCTGGATGTCTGCGAAAAGAGAGAGCAAGGAAACAACGGGTGACTAATGGCTAGCAATCTTATTCTAACATAGGTCACCTTAAATATCTATAAAGGCTCAAACTACAACTGGAAGCTTTGTTAGGCTTCTAAAGAATTTGGATAAAATGACCATAATTGTAATCTTTTTTTATAAAGAATTAACATTTCTATAGCTTACAAATTGATTAACTTTTGTTTTACAATATATTTTGGGTTGTTTTAAATAGGTGAAAATCATTAAGAGAGAAGTATGCTATGCTTCTCGTTTTCAGAAGCAACATTTGCCATCAGAGTTAAGACTTTTAATGTCGCCACAAGGCTGAAAGATGACTTGCAGGAGATATTTGACCAAAGATACCAACGGCTCATATCTACTTCCAACAGATATCATCTGTTCAAAGATATCGCACAATCCTGAAGATAGTTTTAAATTATAAACATTGTTTTAACTTGTGTAAATTGGACAGTAGATATATAAAAGGAACACTGTGTTCATAATTTAACTATAAATAAATAATAAATCTTTCTAAAATAATTACACGATTATTATAATTTTAATGTTTTGAACTTCATTTAACATTCAACATCGAGATTATGGTGTTTTAATTACTAGAGGTAAACTTTCAATTGCAAGAGACTTGCAGCCATGACACGGTATATTTAATGAATTAAACTTACATTGTGTTTCAGACTGCTTTATAGCATACGGAGGAGGAGTGATTTTGTTATATATTCCTGCTGAAGGGAATTCAGTCTGAATACGAGAAGTAAAAGCCTCAATTCTTTCATATTCCAGTCCTCGGTAGACGAATACTTTATTCTATAAAAGAAACATTTAGTAAATATAACATGTGGCAGATAGTTTACGCATATATATTAAGGAAATAAAAATAATAAATCCATTATACCAAATTTTATAACTGAAAGAAAAAATTATACATCGGTCTCACTCATGATAAATACTCTGCCATGTTAACAAAACCATCACTAAAATAATTTATACTCTCAATTTATAGGATGGTGTTTTCTATTTCCAAGTTAACACAGAAATTTCAAGAGAAGATTACCGATTGAGATAATATCACATTCTTTAAGTTTTCCTTTAGATTTATGCAAAACACAATATTGGAATGGCAGAGAGTAAAAACATAACAACAAATATAGTCAACTATTAATATTAAGATTAAACAAGGAATCATGTTAGAAACATAATAAATCACTCTCACTTTAGCTTTCATCTCAAACTAAGCATTATGCGTAACTTATTTCAAATAATTTTTCAGAGTACGGTCTACCCTTAACAAAAATAAGATTGATTAAATTTTATAAAAAAAAAAAAAAAAATGAGCGTTAGTATGGTTATATTTGTGACTGCCACACAGATTTTGAAGATTATGGATTAGTTATAAGTAAAATGTCAATTTAATTTAATCATGTTATGTTACCAAAAACCTTAATGATAGATCACACTAATCATAAAAAATTATATGAAATAAAAGATCTTGTGAATTATCTCAAAGTAAAATTTTAAATTTTCTGTCCTTGAAAGCCAAACTTGAATTTTTGTTTCTATTTACATTGTACTACCAGTCAACTGTGTTAATTTAGCCGGGATTGGTTTAAGTTTTATTAGCGACAACTTTCAAAGGCCATTTATTTACTTATCTGGTTTATATAGAATGATTTATAAATATTTAGAAACTTGAATACATGTAAGCTTCTGAAAAGAAGAAATATTACCAAATTTACACATTGCAAATATAATAATAATAATAATAATAAACCTCACAAAAATTCTAAAAAATACTTTTTCACTACAGCTTTACTATAATAACTACCTGTTTAAATTTAATAACTATCTGTTTATTCCAATTATAGAATACCTTTTTTTTAAACTAAGTATTTTTAAGTCAATGATTTTAACATTTTACAGAATCGAAATTTCAACAAAATAAATAAAATATAACAGAATGTATCTTTTAATGTCTCTGACAAATCACATATCTATATAAACTGAATTTTATGATACATAAACATTACTATGAAGAATTATTTTTTTGATAATGATTTATTATTACTTTATTTATTCATTTTTGAACAGTTTACACGAATTGAAATAATTGCTTACCCTGAGAAATATGGGAAAGGAAGTGCCCCAGAAGCCGACCCGGAAGTACTCGGGCTCCGGGCGCAGCTGGTGGAGGATCGACTGGTAGAACCTGGCCTGGGTCTTCAGCACCTCCGTCAGCTTGTCGTAATCGTAGAGGCGCTCCTCGTAGACGTGGCCCAGCTCCTTTAGCAAGGGCAGGCCCTTTTCCCAGACCTAGTGAGCAATAACAAATTAAATAATAATAATCAAAGATGCACTCTTCTTAGACTGTAGTAGACATCTCCCTGTATTTACTCCTTTATATGACAATGTATGAGGGAATGAGAAGGAATATATAATATATAGGAATGTGAGGTTGCACTGTGAATTGTATTCAATGGTGCAGTGGCAAATTGCTCATTGGAAAGTCTCATATTGATAAACAATCGATGAAGAAAGAAGATTGGAATTGGACGGAGCAGCTGAAAGAGGACACCAAACACTTGAGACCTGGACACCAACAGGAGAAGACGTCATCTGGGAAGAGAGGCTTACGACATTGAAGACCAAGATTATCAAGCCGACCGTTCACTTATATATATTCATTATCAGTTGTTAAAATAAATTTGTTTTGTTAGACAGGAGTGAATAGTAATTTTATTTAGTTGTCCTATAGGCCTCACAATTGAAGAATAAACCAGGTGAGTCAATTCATTTAAAGTGTTCACTAAGTCCCACATTTCAAATATATATTCTTATTGTTTCTTCTCAGACAGTGTCACAAAAGTATTAGATTCCCAACAACAGTTAAACACCCTCAAAAGTCTATATCCAGAGCCGGGGATTTATTTTAATATTCAGGAGTGTAAATAACCTAAAGTCCCCGATATATAAACGGAAGGCTATTCGCCTATTCCCGCCAAAACAAATCATTTAAAATTAACTTTCAGTAGGTTATTTACAAGACGTGGGACAACTCTTTTAGCAGAGGTAGGTTCTTTTATTTTCTCACACCTAACAAATAACAACAGATTTCAGCAGATTGAAAAATAGGTTTAATAAATAAATCTGTTAATGATAAGATTAAGGTCAATCCTCAAATGGGGTTATCAGGAGCAATTGGGTAATACCCACGGGAATGACATTGACAACTTTTTCTTTTACCACACCGTTATCTTTCTTTGTCAAAATTATTGTAAATAGTATGTATTTTGCTTACGATGACCAATCTGGTCCTGTTGTGCACCCGTAAAGAACAGTAGATAATAAATACATACTAAGAAATTAAATAAACAACACTAAAATGCAAAATAAATATAATACTTTCTAATTAATATATTATTTAAATGTTACACTAATCTTACCTTAGCTCTATCAAAGTAATTGACGATTGTATGATACAGTTCTAGCTTGGCTGTGTGATGCTTTTCCCATGTAAGGCAATCAGAGTACAGCAAAAGAGTGAAACCGGCTTCGGTATAATTCTCAGCAGAAACATGAAGAGCGTGGAGCTTATAGATGTAGCGAACATACATTTCAGTTCGGTTAATTTCTGTTTTGTAAAAGTTCTATAAAAATAAAGAGGTAAGAAATGATTATATTTATGTAATAATAATCAATAAATTAATAAACATGAGGTATATGACTGTACCAGGAGGTTGACAGTACAAGACATCCTCTTGTCTCTGTTGTCGTCGCCATGGATTACACTTCTGTAATCGAGGAGGCGTTCAAGAAGTTTAGTAACTGAAGATATAAAAACCCACCCAGTTTCTTTCCATGCAGGGTCTTCTCTCTGTACTCTCTCCAGCAATCTGTTTTAACATTATTATTTACTCTACAGCATCTGTTTTAATATTGCTATTTATTCTCTGTCAATCTGTTTTAAAATTATATTCAATATCTTCATTTGAATTTAGATTAAAAACATTTCATCATAAGCAATAAATAGTCATGATTATTAGAATAAGGCCTTAATTAACATAAAAAGGTAATTAAGAAAAAGGAAATATAATGAGTTTCACATCATTAGGAACAAGTAATATGTTTCCAGAACACTGACTTAATTCAATATAGTTGAGGATTTTTCTTTACTTTATAATACCATACAATTCCGTTGTAATATATATTTAAAAATAAAGGATGTGCAGTAAAAAAATTATGTTTATTGAGTTTGTCAACGTTTCGAACCAAACATGTGGTTCATCATCACGGCTACAAATTAAAAATATCAAATTACAACTGTAAAATGATAAATATAAAAGTATGTGAATAAGAAAAAGAAAGTGGTGAAACGTGAGTATTTATGTTTGTTTTATTTTCATATTTATACTTATTTACATCCTTTTATATTTATTGAAGAGAATGATGTTGGGGTGATCAGTCAAAATAAAAATAGTAAAAATAAATAATGATATTAATTTTTATATTTGCCAACGTTTCAGCCCAAAGTTCAGACCTTTATCAGGGCTAAGAAAAAACCAGATAACAATAGATATGAGAAACTATGAACATTGAATAATAAAGAATTAAAATTAAAAAGATGAAAGATATAGACTAAAATATTTAGGCAGAATAAACTTAAAGTAAAAGTGAAATAGATAGAGTGAACATAAGAGTAAAGTAGGTAAAATAATAACAGTAACAGAGAACTAAGAAATAAATAATAATAACAGGAACAAAGCACAGACCAATTAAATAAACATAATCAAAATAAGGTAACATAAGAAATGAATAATGGTAATCTTAGAATAAAATGTAAAACAGAGAAAAGGAATATGAAGTTATTATTGAGATATTGTGAAATTGATAACAATATACTGACTACGTATAAGGGAATAAAAAGTTAAAATAATGTAAAAATAGAGATAAACAAAATAGAGTTGGAGATGTGGAAAATAGAGCGACGGGAAAGAGGAAAAAAGGAGAAAACTAAGATAAGAAAGATAAACAGACATTGACCAGTTCAAAGGAGCGTGGAAAGACAAAAGTATTATAGCAGAAAAAAGTAGAGCTACATAGCACCATCTGTAGCGGTTAACTGAATTTTCTTAGCCCTGATGAAGGCCTGAACTTCAGGCCTAAACGTCAGTAAATATAAAAATAAATATAATTATTAATTTTAACTATTTTTCATTTTGACTGATCATCCCAACCAGCCTTCTCTTCAATTATTCACTACAGTCAATGTCATTGAGAAGGTACTTTGTGCAGAGAAAGTTCAACTTTGGATGGTAAAAGAGCCATCGATAAAGAGAACTCTGCTGTTGTCGTTGGCATTGGTTTCAGCTGAGCCAATCAAAATTTGGTGCACAATAACAGCTGACCCTGACGAAAGTAAGCACTGTCATTTCTCGTCTGCACTTATTTAATGTAGGAGTATACACAAGTAGAGAGAAGTACCCGACTGTACACAAGTAGGAAGTGGTACCTGGCAACCAACCAGCAGTTTGGAATACCAGCGGGTGATTCATCTAAGTTATTTAATTTTTTTTTTATAACTAATATTTTTCTTACATAACATTAAACTCTTACATGTATTTACCGTAATAAATTATTATGCTCTTCTTATGATATATTAACATATTATCCAGCATTTACATAATTAAGCATTTTATATTGACAGATACAGCTTTATTTTTTCTTAGTAGAAACACAGAGTTTAGTTATGAGAAGAATTTAATCTATTTTATTATTTTTTTCTTTTCTTGAAGTGTATATTTATGCTTTTTTAACATTTTATATAGTTTTAAGTGTTTTTCTCATAGTTTGATTTGTTTTGTTTATAGGTTACTCACTTAATGTTTTCTTTATTTTTTTTTTTATGTATTGTTCTAAATCTTTGAACCAGAAGTAATCTTTTTTTTTTTGTATGATTTTGTTATTCTCAAGGGATTTAATCCCAGAATAAAGTTGTTTTCTATGTATCTATCTATATATCTGTTTGTAGTATCTCTCATCAAATGTATACAATTTGGATTTCTGAAAATCAGGCAACCGCGAGTGTTTGTGGATTAAAAATGGATAAGTTAAATATATGGGGTGAAGTAGTTCAGAGAGTAAGGCGCTGATTTCCAATGCCGAAGGTCCCAGGTTCAAGTCTGGTTGTGGGAGATAATTATTTATTCTGTTACGTCAGCTGTAGATTTATCCTGGGATCAGGAGACCCTCCTGAGGAACACCCGGTACCTCTATAAAGTGGTTTCTCTTAATTAAATAAATAATTAAAGGAGAAAATCTGGCGGTTGTGCATGATTTAGGTCCAATCACAGTTGGCCTACAAATAGTATTTCCTAACAAGGTACTGTACCCGAGACATTCCATGGGTTGTAGTGGTACAGGTTTCTATTTTTAGAAAGTTAAATAGTGTCCAATTCTATTGTACCTAGACCATGTTTACAAAAATGAAATAAACATAACTTACTTTTAAGAAATAAAAATTCAGCATATAGCATAAGTAAACAAATTGCAGTACTTACACAGTGCTCAAGTGTTCCCTGAGGTAAGCAAAAGCAAAAGCAGAAAATAAAATAAATAAGCACATTAATGCAAAAACAATGACAATATAATTTGTTATGAATTGGTAAAAAGAAAAGTGTTATTTACAAAATATATAAATGCTAATTGAGAGAGGTAACAAAACAAATTCTTAAATATTACATTCTGTCTCAATTAAGGACATTCATAATAGAGATCAGAGAGCACAATGACACCATATTTACAGAAAATATAAATAAAGTAATAGCAATATAATACACAGAAATAAAAACAAAATAAAATAGCATAAAGAGAAAAAATAAATATATACAAATTATAAAAAATAATAAATAAATAAAATGTACTTAAAAAGTAAAATAAAAATCTTAGACACAGCCATAGTTATACTTATATATACTATTTACAATCAGTCAGGGACTCTGAGCCAAGTTTTTCTCCTCACTTGTGGAGAGAAAAGTGAGGCTCCAGGAGAACATAGCACTTCCCCCTTAACCACTTTATTGTAATTAAAAACCAGTGGAGGTTGAGTAAGGGCGCTACAGACACATACAACTTGAATGGTGCCGTCATCAGCAATAGTGCTTAATCATTTCCAAAAGTCCAGTATATACATATTTACAAAAAGATCTCAGGGATCGCCGTTTTCACCTACGAGGAGGATTGCAGGGATGGATGGTGCTAGATAGGGATTGTGCTAAAGGATCTGGATGATGAAATTTAGAAAATTAGTCTGGGATTAGATCAAGAATAAATGGAATATTACGGTCCATGTGCATGATTGTGTTGGTTACATAGAAGGGAGCATCGACCATTGTCCAGAGAACTTTAGATTGGAAGGATTGAATGCATTTGATGTTAGAAAATTTAGCTCCTCCTCCCTCCCAACAGCTTTTGTTCATAGATCCAAATAGATTTCAGGATTGTCTTATAGATTAGTAATTTGTTTCCAAGAGATTTTCTACTGAGTAGTCTATATAGTTGGCCATGTCAGTTGTCTTTTAAGTCTAGTATGTGGATTTCAAGTAAGTCGTCTGTCTAAGAGAAAAGGCAAGATACTGAACGGTATCTGAGAAAGGAAGCTGGATGGAGTTAAAATAAACTAGTGGACAGGAATTATGACAAAGAATGAAGTTAATATATTTTGCTTGACTGGTGAGTTGGGAGGGGAATCGCAATATATACTGACAGGCAAGCGGCCATATGAGCACTGGACAACTATACAACTAGATCTAAGGCTGTTGGGGATTGTGTTAGAATTCTCAATGACTTATCCAGACTTAATTAGATATAAGGTAAACATTGAATGGATTCTGGGTCACTCTGGAATAGATGGCAATGAGATGGCCGATGAACTAGCTAGACTAGGCTCACAACTGACACCTATAGCTCCGGAACCCATCTTTGGAATTAGGTAGTGTCTAATAACAAACAGAATCGGGGAGATGTATGCTGCAGAAACTAAAAAGAATTGGTGCTTGAAAGAACAGACCCACTCTAGACTGTTTCTGGAAGGAATATGTTGAGGTGCCCTGAGTCCAAATAACCAAGTCCTGAAAAATGGTCTGTATGTATGTGAACACTCTAGCTCAAAAACGAAAATCGTACGAAACTGATATTACATATTTAAGATAGGTATATGCTATAGATGTCCTGGCAACTTTTTACTTAAAATCGGCTAACCGGAAGTGCCACTTTTTATCAACGTTGAAACACATTTTTACAATTTTCTTAAAAACGGCTCGAGCGATTTTGATTAAACTAGGTGTATCATTGTATAATTAAGTGGTCTTTAATATCATTTAGGTCTTATCCCCATTGATGTCACTTTATCTGCTTTAAATGCCAAATGTTCATATACGTCTTCCTCTAAAGTACCTTTAATATGGTTTATTTTAAATAATTAATCATCTCACATTATTAAAAGTTACGAAAAAATGCTTAATATAACTTTTGAAAGAATTTGGTTATTGAATAAAGGAGAAAAAAATAAAAATGCTTATCCAGGTCGAAAATGAATCTCTGGAAATACTAGTCAGAAGGTATACGTATAATATATCATTGGAAAACAGAGAATTTTAGAAAAAAACAATATATAATATAGAAAGTTGTAAAAACTAATATTATTTAAAGTAAATCACATGTTTTCAAGGAAATTAAATGAAATTTTCTTACTATATGTAAACTTTTAAATTTTTTTCTAAGATTGATTTAAAATCTTCCGAATCAAACCAATGCCATTGTTTAAAATACAATTTCATTATAATTGTGTGAAAGAAGAAGTGAAATATAAAAATATTTCATGGATATGTTTATTTTATTTGAAATAATTAAGCATTTCACATTAATCTTTGATACAAAAAATAGTTAAATATAAAATATTAAAGAATTTTAAAATTAAGTAAAAGAGATATAAGAGATCGTAATGGATAATAGTTGTAATGAAGAACCAAAAGAATACGAGCGAGTCCGAGCTCACCTGAAAGAGTACATATGTAACATGAGCTTAATATAATACGGACTCCAACAATATTATGTACATATGCATGTGTGGTTTTCATAAATGATATCGTTGGTATTATTTAATATTTAATTGTATGGAATACAATGATATACAAATTAAATTTTTTCTATATTAGGGTATTTAAAGTAAAAATAAAATAATGTTTGTAAATAAATGAAATGTAAATAAATATAGCACCGATAATTTTGACTTTCACTTCCCCCTTGTCTGAAAATACTTATTTCTGCTAAGAAGAGGGTGGTAAGTGAAAGTTGTGTGATGCGCGCACCAGATTTTCTCTATTTGGTTTGTCATTTTTACACCATTGATGTTGATAAAAGATTTATGTGAAATTCAGTTTTCTCATCCTGATGACGCCTCAATTTATGAAATATTTACTGCTTGGTAATTGAGTGCAAACTGAAAGGCTAAAGGTTTTGTTTAACAATTTTCTGATAATATCTTAACAGTATTTTTTTAAAGTAATTAAATATTTTTTATATTGCAGACAAGTTTTGAAACTATAATATATATTTTCAGAACTTCACTAAAAGTTATTTTCGTTCAGACAAAAAATTCAATTAGTTAGTTTTGTACCTCTCCCAATTGTTTCTCATCACAAAAAGCCACCACTGGTACAAGGACACGCTATCATGTAATAGTCATTTTTATTTTTTGTCTTTTTTTTAACTTCATGCCGTTCTTGATAACAAATCAAAATTGGCAAATTATGCAATACACACATAGTATTGAAGAGCTGCCTATATTCTTCATCTCCTTTGTTCTCGCTGATCAGCACGTCTAGCTTGTCAATCAGTTCTGATTCAACCTAATATTTAAAAAAGTAATAGTTAATTAATTATTAACGTAATGAAAAAATAATTAAGTTATTTACCATTAACTTACCTGCTTGAAGTTGCCATGAGCGTTGAATTCACACTGAATCATATCGAAAAATATATTTAGAGTAGCCTTCCTCAGCTCTGGCTCAGGAACTAAAGTTATCTCGAGGAACGGCCCGACCATCGATGGGATGAAATGAATTTTATGATCGCCTGAAAGGGATATAAAACAGAAATTGAGCAGTCTATTCTCTAAAATAAAATAATATTTCAAAGAATAATAACATAGAAAACATTATCATATACGCCAGAAATGATGTTTATGTGCTCATTTGAATGAATTAGTTTATGAAAACAGACTAAATTGTAAAAATTAATTTTTGCCAACTTCTTATTCTTTTTGAAAGACTTTAAATAGAAATTATTAAAGGAAGTTAGTCGACTGTTCTACATATCATAGGTGATAAATATTCAGGACACAGTCATTTTAAAGTATTATTGGTGCCGACGTTTCAACCCAAACACAAGGGTTATCATCAGGGCAGGTTTCGAGCACTGAAGATATTCCTCCAATAGATAGAAGAGATTCCAAGAATACCTTCAGTGCTCAAAACACCCTGATGATGACTCCCCAAATTGAATGTTGGTTGAAACGTCGGCACCAATAAAAATTTTAAAATGACTGTGTCTTGAATATTTATCACCCAAAAATGGAGAATGGAGGCAGGAAGGAATGGCCTGGGATTGCTCCTTGGTGTGCTAAGAGAGGCTCAGCAAAGATAGGAAAGGAACATGGTTAGAGGGGTAGAGAATTTCGATTTTAACGGCTTTAAAATTAATTTATGAGAAGTCCCATAATTTAACAACGATACAGTGGGGCAAAGAGCAGCTGAAACTATCCAAGACAACTACGATAACGTGGAACAAATTTTAACAGAGGTTTGTGCCCATAACATGTTATACAGGTCAAGTAAAAAAATTGGAGGGCCTGGCAAATCGTGGAAATATATATATACATGTATATCTTGTAAAATGAAAGTGTTTTCTTATTGTTATTGGAATTATTACATTTATTTTTGTTATTTCAATTTGAAATCAAACTGTGTTGTTATTATTACATTTATTTTCGTCTATTTCATACATATATTATAAAATAAAAGTATTTTTTCATTATTATATTTGTTTTTGTTTACAATTTCAATAATATGAATATAATACAATAAATATGAATAAGATAGGGATTATCAGTGCCTTATCAGAATTATGAGTGATCAGGTTAAAAACAGTGGCAGATAGCAGTCGACCTCGACTGGCTTCTAGACAAGTACCAATTTACAATATGGATGATAAAGAAAATTTGAAATCCTGCATAATTTGTTTCTATAGCAAGTTTTAAGAAAAGTGACTTACCCAAGTTGGACCAGGCTTCGAGGATCTGGAACCCCATGCGCACCCTCATGTCACCATACCTGCACAGGATCTTCTGCTTCTTCACCTCCGAGAACTTCTCCAGCTGGAGCGACGGCTGGGTGAGGAAGGCCACCGCCAAGTTGAAGTAGTTGCTCCACACCTATCGCAAATTACAAACTAAATTACCTTTAGGTTAGCAGAGAGAATAAAAATCTAAATTACCAAAACAATAATAACAACTGTTCCTCCTACATAGTTCTCGACCATGACAGTTTATAACAATCCAAGTTTTCAATGGAAATATATGTTTTAAGGTCTCTTGAATCCAAATAATCAATGTGTATGTCAGTGTGTGGATTCCAGTGAAGCTCAAAACTGTAATTACATACTTAATGTAGCCACATGTATGGGATGTTACAGCAACTTTTTTGCTAAAATCGAACCACAAAAGTGCCTCATTATACCATTTATTTTACACATTTTTACAATTTTCTTTAAAATGGCTCTGATGACTTTGAGTAAACTGATAACATTAATGTAAAATTAAATGACCTTCAATATCAGCTAGAGCTAGAGCTTGTTCTGATCAAAATAGTATTACAGAGCTTAGATGTCAAAATTTCACAAGTTCTTTCTCTAAAGTGCCTTTAATTTTGTTTGTTCAAAATAATTAAGCATCCCATACTTATTAATAATACAAAATGGATGAATATTAAATATGAAAGAATTTTATAATAAATTATTGGATAAAAAGAGAGAAATATTTTATTTTAATATTTGAAAACAAATTTCTAGGAAGGAGAATAGTAATATTGAAGTATAATATAATGTCGCGAAACCAAAAGATTTTGGAAAAATTTATATCCAACATATAAGGTTCATAGATTCATAGAAGATGATACTTGGTGAGATGGATACTTGACAAAAAACTAATTATTAATAATCGTTGTTAATCATTTCTAAATTTATATTATTAAATAGGAAATAAATGTTTTCATGAAAAATAAACAAAATTTTTAAAAAATGAAAACTTTTAAAATTTATTTTTAATCTTAAAAAGCCTCAAGCACAAACGGCAGGGAATTCGGTATTAATATGCTATGGCTCCAAGATTCAAAGTGTTAACAAAATAGTTAAATATCAAATTAGGGAATTTCTATTGAAGAGAAGTTGGTTAGGATTTTCAGCCAATGAAAATACAAAGTAAAAATAAATAAATTACATGACGAAAATCGAAAGTCTTCAGACGAGTGACCGAATTTATAAATCTTTCGAGTGAAAGCCTTGATCAAGGCCTGAAAGTTGGGCCGAGATGTTGGCACAAAGGAAACAAAAATAAATATAAATTGTTTATTTTTACTTTGTATTTTCATTGACTGAAAACCCCAACCAACTTCCATACATCTTCAAAAGTCAACTGTTATCTACTATTATTAAGGTATTATTAATTAAAAGGAAATCATGTTGTCTTCATGATGGGAAGTGATTCAGCAATTGAAAATACCTATAATAGGTAACAAGAATTGATTGGAATATTCATTAACATTTAATTGAATGGAAGAAGCAAGTATAAAAGTAATCACTGGCAACAATACAACACTTTTTTCACATGACAGGAGTAGGGGTCAAAATAGAAATTTAGTTCAAAGTCATTAAATAAAAAAATTCTTAAATAATAATATCATGAGCATTATGATAATAATATCAATCATGTTTTAATTCCATATCTCCATTCTATTATAATATAATAATATGGGCAGTATAGGACTTCAGTGAGTCTTGGGCCGACGAAAGGGAAAAAAAAATGTTTATCTTTATATCAATTTAAATTATTATTTAATTACTGATATCTAAAATTGCCAAAAGAATGAAAAAACTTGAACTGAAAATTAAAAAATTAATATATACCTATTTTTGTTCTTTGGTAATAAGCACAAAATATATTAATTATAAACATTGATCATTATATATCATAAGATAAGATTTTGAAGTTACAAGAGTAAAATCAATAATAATTAATTAGTTTCAGCGGACCTGGTAATCAAAAGGGTTGATACGGATGGGTAGCTCCCTGATGGCCGGGAGGATGATAGAGTTGGCCGACAGTCGAACCTCGGCCCACTCTTTCGGGAAGACTTCCTCCTTGGTGAGGTCCTTCAGTACGAGGAGCAGGCGGAGGAGGAGATCCTTGTTGTCGCAGAACAGCCTGCGATAGTGAGCCCTCGACATCACTTGCAACAACCCGATGAGGCAGGCCACCAGGCTTCCCTGTATGTCAAAATGCACTTATATTTAAAAATATATAAACAATCCTACTAATTATAAATTATGAGCATCTTTGTTATTATATAATTGTAAATAAACAGTATGAATAAAATAAAATATAAACAACAGTTTAATTAATAGAAAATTCCTATGGTTTAATCTAACTGCTGCTGAGAGAAAATATAGCAATATTATTTACAAATAAAAATATTAATAACATTAAAAATGAGTTTAATACATTAGTAATATAGCAATATTATTTAGAAATAAATATTCAACAGTATAAATCTAGTAATATAAATCACATTAAAAATGAGTTTTTGCAGTAGAATAAAACTTACAAGTACAGGAGAAGATCTGTCGATAATTATTAGAACTGTCTGAATAAGAATATCAAGAGTGCTCATCGCAACTACCTCAATATCGTGGTGTAAACAATTGTTCACCTGTAAAAAAGGAAGATAAAAGGGGACATAATATACAAATACTAAATTTTTAAATAGATATCATAAAAATGAAAACTATCAAGAATAATTATTTATGTTTTTAAAAATGATATTATCTTAAGTTTTTATCAAGATAAAATAAAAAAGAAGCAACAAAATCAGTCTATTCGTTCCCGAGATAATCTTGGCATAGACAGACAGACCAATGACTGAAAATGTGTTTTTCAAACTCAGTGTGCTCTGAAATGTAAAAGATCAGTTGAAAACCGCACATCGGAAACTTGACTCGACCACAATACCTTTCTTACCTGCTAGGAAAGTGAAAACACTGAAATCAACAGTCTGTTGTTCTTATAGGAATTTAGAATGAATAATGATAATACCTTTCTTACCTGCTAGGAAAGTGAAAACACTGAAATCAACAGTCTGTTGTTCTTATAGGAATTTAGAATGAATAATGATAAAACTAAAAACGGGGATTATTTATTTTGTTTGACAGTTAAATTTGGAGAACCCAAATAAGATTCAGTTTGGGGTGATAGCCCTGGAGCCAGAGCTCAAAAATCGACCTGATCGCAGGCGAAGGTTTGATTGTTAATTACGAAAGTGTACGTTATTATGAGTAAAAAGAATCTTGTCTGCCATTCGAGAGCAGCTGCTTTCAGAAGTGGCGACTGATTAAAAGAATATTAGGCTAGTAATTTGAGGATCGAAACAGGAAATCCATTGCGAAAAATCTGAGAAAAATCTTTTATTTTTTAACTTGTATATAGGGGTTTAGACATGTAAAAAACAAAATTGCTAACGTGGGCCACAAAGGAAAAACTTTTTACAGCCAAAAAAGTAAGATTTCTTTGTTTATTTATCTGTAACTTCTAAACAATGCATCAAAGCGAAAAATGTACTCTGAAATGTAATGAAATTCAAAAACGTTAAATTGTGCATCGAACGAATACATAATCTTTATAATTTGGTTACGTGGTAAGGTATAAAACTATGTTCAACCAATGCTGATTTTTATCAAATTCGTCAAAAAACAATTACGATAAATGGCCCCGTAACTTGGAAATGAGTTCTCTAAGAGAAAAACCCATAGAATCAAAGTTGTAGAGAATTAAATCAAGTTTGCGTTCACAGAGTACTGACATTTTTATTGTAGACCATTTAGATATCTCGAACAGGGATTAGTTACTTCTTTATGAAATTTGTTATCTTTCGACACATTGTTTATCAAAATATATTTCTATGTTATAATTTCATTAAACATTCATTTGTGGTACACCAAATACAAAAATTATCACTACTCCTAGTTTTATTTTTTGTGCATTTCCTGATGCTTGTCATTCCCAAAACTCAGTACTACCTCTTACCTCTATTGTTTAACATTGACTTGAGAATGAGCTAATCAGCACGAAACATCGTTTGAAATGGAATAAATCATTTAAGTATAAGGGCTTATATATTCCTTGAAGATGCTATATATACTCTAAGTTATTTAATTCAAAATAAATATAAGCAGATTAATTACTTTGCCGTCGGCCGTTTCCCCTCGCTGTTGCTGGTGGATAAATATTATCAACTTGCCCAATATATCCGTGCATAGCCTGAGTTCCTCTCGATGGGACAAATGGGATCGCAGGTGCTTACAGATCACCGACAGTAGCCCTGGTCTCGACTCTGTTCAGAAATTATAATTTTGTGAGTTATTTTTTTTAAAAATTAGAACACATCAAAAGTTAAGTTTTTATATAGAATCTATAAAGCAATAAATAGAGATTCCAGTAGTTAGGATATTTGTTTTGATTTGTTACCTGCTCCAATGACGGTTTCAATCACTGGAAAAAATATAAAACATTACATTTATTTATTTATTCCATTTCATATCAATAAAAAACAGAATGGGAATCAGATTGTAACAGATGTTAGCTGCACTACCATAATTAAACACAATAACTACGCAGATAGAAATAAAAACAAAATATTTTTTTATCTTACTGATCTCCTGAAATATATAATAACTTTAAATAAAATAATAATAATACTGTTCAATCTTCTTTCTTACAGGCATTTCCATGTAACAGGTTTAATATTACAATAAATCTGTCTAAATTGAAATAAAGTTTCCCTTAATTGTATTTCACGTTCTAACACTTTTTTAAATACCAATACCAAGTTTTCCCACAATAACTTTACAATTATTAAAAAAAGAATGTAGTGAACTTGCTTCCACATTTATGAAGTTATCATGGCAAGGTAAACAGACAACCTTACGCGTAAACAAGATTTACTGTGAGGTTTTTATGATGTTAATGTAATTTTTATGATATTTTTTATTTCTGCCTTTTCCTTACAATAATCCTAATAAAATCAATTCATTAAAAACCTGGTCCTGAACTGACGCTAGCATTACCTTGAGCCTTGAAAAGTGGCCCCTGTACGATGGAATCGAGAGCTATCAGCTTAGATTTGACCAAGGGCTGAGCGAGGTGGCGCCCGTGCAGCATGTCGAGGCTGGCCGCGACCATCCCAGCAACGTCCTGGAGAGCAACCACTCGCGAGACTTGTTCATACGCTCCTGGCAAACTTTCCACCAGTGCCACCTATCAGGAATGTTTAGATCATTTATGGGATATTCAAATTTTAAAAGTATTAACATTTTTAAATTTGAATTTAAAAAAATATACTTCCTGATTGACAGAACTATAAAACTATTACAACGACGAAATTTTAAAAATTATAAATTGAAAAAAAAAATGAATTTATAGACTTCAATTTTTTTTTTTAACTAACAGGTAACAAAGAAAAGTAGAATATTTACAAAATCAAAGAGTTCTATTCAACAAAATAATTAAACTATCAACTATAAAAATAACAATTAAATAAAAAAAAAAACCAGTAAAGTATAAATTTTTTTTATCACTAAACTACTTAAAATGTTTAAAAATTCATTATAAGAGGCGGTTGGAGGCAGATTATTTCTTGATTGCTTACAATGACACTTCATAACAATATTAGTTAAAACTAAAGCAAATGAAGAATCTTGCAAACCTGTGTATTGATGATATTGTGTGATGTTACGGTGAGGACTTTGTTAAGGGAAGCAAAGACACTATAAATATCACGTGTGAAGCTTTCTTCGTACTGCCCGTGGGTTGCTCGAGAAAATAACAGCCGGGATTCAACGATGAATTTGAAGATTGATTCGAGCGAGCGAAAGCATTTCAAGATTGGTTCTTGTTTGTCAGTAGCACCAACTCGATCGGCACAATGCTGCACAGAGCTTATTAACCCTCTGGAAAAAAAAAATTTATTTCTTATTACAAAAGCACATCCATTCTATAAAGTTCAAAAACACATGAACACCCAGTTGAGCTATAAAAACTATTGAAGGACAGTTCGATATCAGATAGGATACAAAAGGCCTAAATAGCATCTTTATGACAATATAAAAAGAAAAGTACTAATAGGCCTAAATAGCACCTTTATGATAATAATATAAAAAGTACTCACTTGTAGACTAGAGCAGCGGCGAAGTGGTTCTTGATGTAGGCGTCCATTACCGGCTTGAAGTGCTGGAACTTGTTATCGTTCAACAGGCTGAAAATGCTAACCTGCAAAAACGAATAACATAAAACAAAAATTCATATTTAACAGTTAATTCCACGAGTGTGATCTATCAAACAAATATGTAAGAATAAAAAGAACAACCTTTCAAGATAAATTATAAGTCAAAATAATATAGACTATCTTATGTGGACACAACCACTTCTTAATTTTATTTTGTTTTATTTGTGTCTATAAGCTTAAAATAAAATATTTATATAATTTACATTATATCAAGCTATATTGATAAAATTCCATTAAGCTATATTTATAAGTTTTAAATTAATAACCGATTGGATGAGCAAAAATTTGTTTAGAAATAACAGCCTAGATTTTTGAATTTGATAAAAATTCCACTAACCAAAACGTGAAAGACGAGACCAGAATGCTGAGTAGAATTCCCATCTTCTGTGGAAAACATGGAAAAGAGCGCATCGAGAACATCTTGCAAAAACTTGACCAGTTCTTCGCCTGATAAATGCAAGGCCTTAGTGAGAGCATCCGATATCTTGCCAGGGTGAGTCTTCCATTGAAGTAGCGAAAGTAGATCGACTAAATTAATAATACAATATCTATTATATATTATCTATGATATTACAATATTGTAAAAAAAAAACTGTTATGTCAGTAGGTATTACATTAAGCTTCAATAACAGAAATTATAAATAATACCAAATGTTCATATCCATACAACATATAGAAAATGAAAATATAAATAAATGCTATCATAATTAAATCAAGGAATAGCAAAAAGGATCTCAATTCCTTAAACAAAATTTATAACAGCATGCAACTTAACACATAGTTCTGAAATCATCAAACCAAAAATTTTGTGAGTTCAAATTTCCAACAGAAACTTTACCTAAAATATTCACAATAATTTGGAAGACACTCCCTCCCCCCATAAAACAGGTTCCTGCATTAAAACTATCGTGTTGAAAATTTTTAACTCCATCATTTTGGAAATGGGCTACATATTGGCGATGTTTTATAAAAGTAATAAGTTTTATTGAAAATTAATGAATTGTTTGATTTAATCTTTTTACGTAACATCAATACTATGTACGAAAAACAACAGCTAAATAAAAATTTAGCATTATATAATCTAGAATCATGGAAACAAAGACAATGTAATAGTTTAAAGTTTAATAAATAATCCCGTATGCTGGAAATAGCAAGGAAAAAAAAACTTCAAAGTGTTCATGAACAACAAATGCAACCTGATAAGGTTCCTCTTAATTATTGTCTTTTTTTTTAGTTTTCCATTTATTATCAAAAATTGTTATGAAATAGTTCTTTTTCCATTGAAAGCCAATACTTTATTTAAATTTGATTAAGATCTGAGCTTTGTTAGTTAGTTGTTAGCTATTTCAGTATTTAAATTAATAATAATAAGCAATATCGATTGGCCCAGCTGCCTCAGCATTGAGCTGATACTCTTCGCTTCCATTTATGTCACCTTTAGTTTTTAATTCAAAGTTCTGACGATAATAACTTCACTGGCAAAACATTGACTGATAATTTATTGCTATCTGAGAGGCTTGACGCTTAGTTTTTGAACCTTCCAATATTATCCTAATCATTTTTACTCTCATTACTTAATTAATTAAAACAGCCTTCATAAATTTAAAAAATCATAAACCACCAGTGATCATAAAGTCAATGGCCTCTGAAGGGAGGCAGTGATAATAGCAACACTGGGCGATGATATTACCGTTCTGAGTAAGCTTGGTAGAACACAGGAGTGTGCGGATTGTGAGGAACTCTTTGTGCGGTAAGTGGCTCGCTTGCCTGTGGCTGCTGGCGTTGAAGAGATAGTGTGACGGATGCAATCGGGACATCTGCTCACATCTGTATATGATCAGTTCATGGCTCCCATCCTGAGGCACAAAGAGTGAACCAAGAATGATTTAACAAATCAATAAAAAAAAGATAAATATTTTTATTACAGGATAATCTAAAATCGACATAGAATCGGTCAATCCATAACAAGTTAACAACTTATAAATACTTTTTAATCATTTCAACTTTTTTTTATTTATATAAAATTTAAAAAAAGAGATGCATCCAAGAATATAAATATAGTAATGAATTTTTCTGTTTATGTGTGCCAATGTTTCAACCTGCATACCCGCTTTGAAAATAAGAAAAGAAATAATAACAAAATTATGAATGTTTATAGTTCTTTTTGTTTAAAGTTAAATTCTATCAGATACAAACATAACATGAAGAGCGTATTTCTTGAAATAAGTATGTTACCTGCAAAGTTGCACCACTTGCTTCCATCAGCCTTGCGAAACTGAATCCAATCAATTTTTTGTTTTCTGCTTTCTCCCTCGCTGCAATAATTGACAATAATGAATTGACCAAGAAACAAAGTTTAATTTAATAATTTAAAATATAAAAATACACAATGATTTGAAAAGATAACTAAAATTTGAAAGCTCTTATAATTAAATTCAAACAAGTAAAAAAAAAATCATTTTTCTCTCTTTCAAGAGAATTCAAACACCAGCTCCTGTTCTTTCTCTGATTTCTGATTCAGCTATTGGCTCCTGACGTGTGTGTATCATTTTAATATATTGAAACCACTCAGGCGCCAATCTCAATTACTCTCAATTGCCTTTTACAAATCTTTCCTGATTTGGATTTAGACTGTTTAATGAATGCTCTCTTGCTGAATGAACACAACTCAAGATCATCCATAGCTTCAAGACTCCAATCAATAACAAAACAATCACAACACTTGTAATCCTTGATTCAACCAACTGTAAATCCTCATCATTGCTCCTGGATCTTTATCAAGCTCAATAAATCACTTTAAATCTTTTTTTCCACCAAGGATCCTCTACTAATAATTACTTATTTTTTTCTTTTTAACTATTTAAAGTGTTGTAGGAAAAGTGTTCTTTGGTGAGATTGGTAAGCCTCATATTCCATAACAACGTGGTATAGTGTTTCACAATTCATGGAATTTTCACATTGGGCCGGGCTGGATTCAAAACTCCCATGTAGTGTAATAACTATTTAACAACAATGCTTTCAGTAACTTCAGCAGCATGTTATTTATTAAAACCAATTTTTTTTTTTTTTTTTTGTTTAGAGATAACAGATTTGCACAGTATGCAGAAATAATTAGAATATAAATATATTTTTTTACTTTATAGTTAAAGCATAAATACTAACTAGATATTAAATAGAAGTTATCCAGAATTTTTTTTAAAACTACACTAACTTGAACAATGCCTATATTCAAGACGTATGTGAGCTGTTTGATACTTCTCGATCGGCACAGAAAGGCATATCGTTTCGCACCAAACCGGCGAGTTCTGATGATACATGATGCTGCTTTGGTACATATAGTTTCCATCCGTGCCCGAAGCTCCCCACAAGCAGCCCTGAACAGATTTGACAATTCAATTTAGTAACAATGAAAAACTAATTAGGTTTTACAAAAATAAATTTTGTTATCAATCAACTGATATTTCTATATATCATTAAGTTTTAAGAACCTAAAATACTAAACTAAGAAAATGGCTATAATCCATTTTAAGAGAATACACAATATCTTGTAGTAGCAAGATATTTTCAAAATAATATTCAAAGGACTTGAAAAACTGTACATTTAGTTTTTCACTGGCATCAATCTACAAGGACAGCATTTAATGTATTGTTTTGTTTAAAATATATACTTTCAGCACAAAGTACAAAGCATACCTTTACTTTACACAAACCTCATTTAGTCGAGCAGTATAACAACCCAGAGATGGTTTTAATCACTCGGGAAAATATAATTTAATATTTATTGCACATAATTTTATTAAAAATATTTTACTGGACAAGACACAATCTTCTAAATCAATTCAATCTGAAAGGTATACCAGACTCTTGGACATGGCCCCAATGGAATATGGATGGCAATCTTATCTAGGTGTATCACCACTTGCGTAACAATGTACAACAGAACATAAGTGAATTTAAAACAAAAGTAATTTATACTGGGTTGTGAGTGAGAGAATGACATAACTGCCTATCAGGTGTAGAAGAAAACATATAGGAAACATATTGCAGCTAACAATAGCTTATAAGCATAATTAAATACACTGACAATACAGAAAACCTGGATAGAATACATATAGCGATAACCTGCATTTTCAAAGATTATTAACTACTTAAAATACAAAATCATCAATAAAATAATAAGATCTAAAATACAAAATCATCAATAAAATAATAAGATTTAAAATACATAAAAAGTTTTCTGCCTCAGTTCTAGCAGATACTTTCAAGGAACAGAGTCAAAACATTAATAAACTTTTCTGAATGGCAATAAAGTGTCACTTCAATAAGTTTCATGTTTTAACATTTTTAAAAATAAAAAATGCCACAATTTCACACTTAATAAAACATTTTATAGTGAGATAGCTTGTGGCGCAGAAGTATGTAAAAGTAATCTGCAATAATTAAATGTACCGTTGTAGCCAAGCTGTAAGTAGCTAGTAAATGTTAGGCAACTTCTATTATATTAAAAAAAAAACTTTAAAATAGAAACTACTCTCTATTTATTTTTTTCATGACAACTTTACAATAACTATCTAAATAATATAGGTATAAAATAAATTTATTAAATTGTTCATACCATTAATAATAATAGAAATAATTATACCTCAAGTGGGTTTCCTTCTGCATCTAAGACTAATATCGTCACTTCAATATTTTTTCCAGTTGACTTACCACCTCTTTCGAATTCTCCTCTCTCCAAAGTCAGGTATAAATCATTCCTAAACAAAATAATAATTATATTAATAATAAAGATTATGTTACTGATTCCTTACTATTATAATAATCTAAATACTTATTATGATTATATACAGATACAATAACAGATTAAACATTAAGAAAGAAGATTTAATGTGATTCAAACAGGTTTAACCATTAGACTTTTGACAGGCCATAACATTTGAATATTAAGCTAAAACAAAATGCAGATCAGCTGATCTAACATAAGCTTTTAGATGACAGGTACCTGTCATGAAACAGAAAGAACTCTGGATGGCCTTTTTATGTGTCAAATATTAATTTCTCTTGAAAAGACTTATTAAAATGTGCACTTCCATTTTGAATGTTTGATACATAATTCTTTTCTTTTCTTTTTTTTAACCCGTTAAAGACAGCAGACTCATTTATGAGTTGAGAAGTAATCGAACTCAGGCGACAGTGGACAGATATGTCAGTCAGAAGTCTCTCGGGCTCATTCTCGTTAAATGATGAGGTGCTCAGTGATCAAGGCACTCGGTAATTTTTCCGTGACTGGAGATTATAGGCATCTTTTAATGATACCTTAAATAAAAACATGTAAGTGGTCAGTAGTGTCGTTAGTCACGCGTCTAGTAGAGGTGATGAAAAGTAATCCGTCCTTCCTCAAAAACGTTCCACCCTTCCTGCTCATCGTCGCTGTAAAATACAACTTATCATCACGAATCGACATTTCTAAAATACTTTAGAAACTTTCCATTCATTTTCAACAAAATTGGTCTCTAACTATACTAATACACATTCTTTAAAATGAATATAATAGAAAAATTAATATCATTAAGAAAATAAAGAATTGATTATTACCTGACATCTCCAGGCATTATAACATCTGGAAAGCCCAACTTCTTTGTCAGTGTTATATTCTTCAAGAGCAGAGGGTTCTCTTCTCTAACTTTTTCAATATCACCGTGCAAAACCCTCAATGACATAACGATGCCTATTACAAAAAATGAAAAACAGACTTTAGATGAATAGAAAATCTACATGCAAATAGAGCTTTTCAAAAAAGTAAAAATACAATGATACCAAAAATATGAGTTGAAAAAGCCATCCTCATATTATTACTATCCTAACAGTTCACTAATTGGATTTTCTAAGCACGATCCAGATTATATTCATTTCTCAATACAGATAATAATACATAGCAAATAATATAAAACACTGGTTTCAAATTTAGATGAGCTAATTTGACTGTTTTACTGGTGAAGTCATCTTCCACAATGCATGCTAAAAATAACAGAGATGAAAAATTTCTGAAAGAAAGATATGCAGCTTTATTATAAGGTAGAAAAAGAAGAAATTACACAAAATTCGTAATAACTGAAAAATTAATAATGTAGAATTACAATCTGATTTTAGTTTTGATGATGGTGAATTTAATTTGTTATCATTAAGTAGACATTTTTAGCTACTCATACCTAATGCTGTATTGCTATACACTATTGATACCAAATGATATATTTTATATGCCATCCACCACCTAATAGTATTGAAAAATTAATCTTTGAAAAAACAAGCAAGAATAAAATCACACTTGGTCACACACATTGCGACTACTTAACTGGTCACTTTAAACTAAACAAAACAAATCAAACTCAACAAAACTAACCGTAGTTGGGTTGGCCCGAGAGGGGACTATATTTGTTGCTCTGTTTGCGCATTATAAATTCATGGAGCTGATGGAAGTCTTTGTCTTCGGCTTGATAGGCCTTGAAGGAGAACTCCCTCTCGTCCGTGTTCGTACCGGTAACAGCCTGAAATCGATATAATCAATATTTAAAAACGAAATACGATTACAATTACATTTAAAAATTAAAAGAAAATTATAAATTCATTTCCTTGCAGTTTTAAGTTTGGTATAATTCATTGAATTGGACATTTGAAGCCTTTGTCGAAAGCAAAAGAATTAAAAAAATTAAATTACTTAAGCAAACATTGAACATTTTGAAAAACACTTGACCAAACTAAGAAAGGATATTTTCCATGGTCTTATATTCTCATACGAATATCTCTAACATAATAAAATCTTTATATATTGTTTCTCCAAGGTATTTTTTTGTCAATATACTACATCTTCTTAATATTTCATCTAAATCAATTTTTGATCCCTCGTTTTGAGATATATCTTCACCACCAGTGACAAAAAAAACAAGCATATATACCTTGGAGAAAATCTTAAAAGGTATATAATTAATGTTATATACATGATCATTTCAAAGGTGGTACAATTCTCTATAAAACTTTTTAAAAAATCATTGAAAGTTACAGTCTATTGGGCTTTGTATTCATTTACTGGAGATAAATGTTTGTCCACTGTTGTTTTTTTTTTTAATTATCTGAGATAAAATTTTAGAGATATATAGATAGAATGTTCATTCAAGTATTTATTTTAATTTTATAAAAATTAATTCATTATATAAAATATATAAGTAATATTAAACTAATAATTTTTTTTTTTCAATAACACCTAATGCCCAAGTCTATTGTGTTTCTGTCCCAAGTAGTTAAAAGGATTATAATTGTAAGTTGTATTTATTTCTTAGGTTCATGTTTAATTTTTTTTATCTATGGGTATGGTGCCATTCCCGAGCCAATGCCTGGAGCGAAAGGCTGGAACTGCTCCACAGTCGTTACCTTGCAGTAAATAACCAAAAGAATGGTGACGTAGACAAACAGACCAATGGCCAAAAAATCACTTTTTCATTCAAGAGACTCTCAAACGTAAACATCTGCGGAAACTAAATATCAAAAATATGAACCGATAACAATACCTTAAGAATGTAGCTATCTTAACCTTACAGAAGGTGTTGACACATCCTAACCTTAGGTGTTTACACAAGTGAAAATTATATTGAAGCAAAATCAGTCAAAAATAATTTTATATATATTTTACATAAGAAACAAAGAAAATTTAAAGAATGAATTCCCGTGCCTAATGCTAGTAGGAGATATTATTTGTAATGATCATTATTAAAAACATATCAATGTAACAATTGAACTACATACTTCTCCAATATTGAGGACCGCGACGGCATGAGGTCGCTTGAAGGTGCCACTTGCTTGTTGTTGAGCAGCAAGGATCTTTTTGGCAGAGTCGTTGTGCAGCATCCTTCCTATCCTGTAGACGTGAGCCACAATGTACAGCTCCTTGCTCAGATCTGCGCTTCCCAAATCCTAAGAACAAAACCCGATCGATTGCTTACTGGCAATGGAATAGATGACTACAACTACTAAATAATCATCATACAAAAAAAGGCTCGCCCATTCATGTAAATATTGCAGATAAAAAATAAATACAAAATTACTAATCTCAGCCGATTATGGTTAAAAGAAATATTCATAAACACAATATGTTATGTTCAAACACTATTTAGAGATGAAAAAAGACTTTTTATAGTTTGGAATGATGCATTTATCAATGAATCAATATAACACAAAGATTTAACATTTAAAAAGAACTAAACAAACTTAAGCTGAATATTATTTAATTTCAAAGGTTTAAAACAACTATTTTAGTAATAATTCTATATAAAATCAAATAAAAGATACAATTGATACTACAAAATTAGTATATTTTTTTAAAATGTTTATATTTAGCAAAACAATATAATTAATAAATACATAACAAACTCACAGTGAATATAGTACAGTTACTGTTCAATTTTTCAATATAATTTGAAAAACCATCTTTGGATATCTTGACTAGGAACCTCTCACTGAAATCAGATAAAAAATATGTTAGAAAGGCAAAGCACAAAACCACAGAGAAAAGTAAAATCCAAACATTAAGTTGATTGACCTGATAAACTTTAACTTTTTGGCATCGTACAACGACAGGTAGACCTCCGTAGTCTCTCCAACGTTGTGGCCGAAGTCCCTCATGCAGAGGTACAGATGGTGTGACAGCGTTCTCTTGTCCTCTCTTCTCTTCAACGTACCCCTCGACTATAGCAATCATTAATCATCAATCATACCAAAATTAAACAGAACAAATCTTTCATCAAGTCTTTTTTTTTTTTTAAAGTACAAGCATGGGAGGGACAGACATTTTTCTATATCTTTATGTAATTATTTATAATATAATTAATTAATATTTTTATATAAACTATTATAGAAACAAAAAAAATTGTTTAAGAAAGATGAGAAAAACATTGAATTTAGATCATTTACACTAATGACAATATAGGAAGGGGGAGTAATCATTCTAATTGACGGACTATATCTCAGGTTTCAACTTTTAAGGGTGCACATTTGCAATGAGATCATGAATTTTTGTTTGCGCTGATTTCCAATGCTCAAGGTCTCAGTTTTGGATCTGGCTGATGGCGGGAAAATTATTTATTCTGTTTCCTCGGCTGTGGGTCAACCCTGGGGTCGGGAGTCCCCCTCCCCCCTGGATCATACCCAGCCTATATAAAGTGGATACCTTTAATTAAATACTTTCTAGGAGATGTTCTTATTTTCTACTCCTCAAGAAGATACTCCTCAAAATTCTTGCACAACCATTGAATTTGATAAAGAATTAACAAAGTTAAGGCTTACCAACAAAAAAACAACTTTGATGAATTTCCAAGAAACCATTTCTCTTTTATTAGTTTTTCAAACAATCGAAAACTGTAAATATTTGGAAATATTGCATTTGCTAATTTTAAGGGTACTTAAATTGCCTAGCAGAGCTCCCCTGCAAAATATAAACTGAAAATAAGCCAAAAAAAAAGTATTATTCTATGTGCCCCAGAGAGCTCAGAAATAATTAACAATAATCATAATTAACAATATTCTAATTTTTAAAACCTAAAAAAACATTCCCATGGCACAACTATGGCACCTAAGAGCTTTTAGAATGAATTAAGATTTATGGATACATTTTTTGAATTTAAAATTCAGGTTCTGTAGGAACTTAACTGGGTTCTTGGTGCACTATTCGAAATTTTTAAAACGCAATTTGATCCCTCTGGATCTATTGACTTATTGGATATTTGAAACCTCCTTATTTCAATAAATTTTGTTAAAGGAAACTCCCTTTCCTTAACTGCCTCACTTATCACTCTTGAGAGGGAACTGTACCGCGTATTATATATCCATGCCGTAGTTAGATTTTATCGCACCGTTTTTATAAATGAAAAATAAAAATTTTAAATTACCATGTTTTAAATTAATATTAAAATAGTTTTAGATTTCCTGAAATATTTTATGTATATAAATATATATAAAAATAGAAAAATAGAAATTATTTTTTGGCACAGGCGGATCTACGGGGGAGGGGGCTTTCGGGCTGAAGCTTCCCTCCCCCTCCCTCCCCCAAATGGTAAAATATAACCATATTTTATAGAAAAAAAAATATTAATAACTATCTCTTAAAGTATTCTTGTTCATGTAATTATATTTAATAGGACTTCAAGAACCACATAAACACCATTTCATATAGATAATTAATTTCTTTATTTTTTTTTCAAATTAACTATCGTTATATGTATATGGAAAAAAAATCTTTCGGGCTGAAGCGCCTCCCAAAATTAAATCCTGGATCCGCTAGTGTTTTTTGGCAATGTTGGGCTATTATAAAATTTTTAACGGAGCTTGAACTTCAAGTTTCTATTAGCAAATCGTGTGGTTAATGACAAAAAACATATTAATTATATCAACGGTAGGCAATAAAAACCATAATCATTTATAGGTTGAACATACAGATTGAAAGCATTGAGAGATTTGAAAGCATATCTGTATGTTCAACCTATAAATGATTATGGATTGTACACATATTAATTACTAAACTGTTATTTACCATTGTAAAGTTTGGTAAAATAAAATTACGAGATTTTCATTGCCTGCCATGGATAGGCCAAAATTTGTCACACTAATTGTAAGCAGATAATGTTGGTATTTCACAAAGGGAAAATTCATCAAATTATTGACTAATTAAATTTTCTAAAAGGTTACATGACGGTTTTTCAGAATAAACGGTCGATAGATATCTAATTATTTAAATAAAATATATAAGACCTAGAGTCATTAAACTAAAGGAAATATATTTAAAGTTATAAACGTATCTATGAAACATTTTTATATTTCACATCTTCTTTCACACAAGAGCAACGAAATAGATTTTTAAACAATATCATTGCATGTCACTCTTCATTATTTTCTACGATTTTCTATATTAGATATTGTTTTTTTTTCTAAAATTCTTCGCTTTCCAACGATATATTACACGTATACTTTCGGACTATTATTTCTGGATATTCATTTACGACCTGGATATGTATTTTATTTTCTTCACAATAATAAAATTCCTTCAAAACTTATTTTAATCCTTTTTTCATAATTCCTTACATGGATAGATAGTTAACTATTTAAAATAAAACAAATTAAAGTTACGTTGACGGAAGACACTTTGAACATTGGGCATTGAAGTCCTGTTAAGTGACATCAATTGCGATAAGACCTAAATGATATTAAATGTTACTTAATAAGACAATGATACACCGAGTTTAACATTAAAATCGTTACAGCCGTATTCGAGAAAATCGTAAAAATGTGTCACACCGATGATATAAAGTTCCACACCCGATAAGCCAATTCTAACAAAATGAAAATTTCTGTAAAATCTCAGGTATTCGCAAATGGGACTTCAATGTGACCACTTTCGTTAGTGAAAAGACAGATCAGAGATTTTTGAAAATAATTTTTTTTTGCTGTACAATTTAAGAAATTTAGCAGCATTGAGCAGTTAATAGCAATGTAGCAAAGTAAACGGGAATAATGTAACAATAGTTTCGCAACTTGTTAGGCATTGGTATCAATAAGAAATGGATTAATAAACCGTAGAGAATCTATTTAGTAAGACATAAATGAGATTACAATGTGCTATATAATAATATAAAACCACAATAAAATGAAGACATGACTGGATAGAGGTATTATATTACAAAATGAAAGTTAAAGATCCATACAATCCATTCGGAACTATTACGACTAACCAAGAATGTTTTGTTGCAAATGCAGACAGCTCCTTGGCCCACTCATGTCTTCAATTTCGATTTAATTAAAACATCTGTTTATGTTTAATTATTGTTAATTATAAAGTGAAAACGGAACTTACTGATGAATTTAGGGAATTCTCGGAGCTTTGAACATGCTGAGGAACAAAGAAAATTTAAACATTATTATTACAAATGTACAAATTATATTTCACTGTTTATATTCTATAACATTATATAATACATGTTTTTAAACTTCATGCTGATTACATCTTACTTTGGCTTACAATGATCAATTAAGATTTTTTTTTCAACTGTTCATTTTATTTTACGTTCATTTGCATTCTAATATTTACGTATATTCTTTAACAAATAAAAAATAATTATAATTAAAAATTAAAAAATACAGTTCTGAACTAAACTAGTAGCCCAACTAATTATTTTAAGAAAATAAGAAAATTACATTTAAAAAAATGAATATAGATCATTGAGAAAAAAAAACTAAACACAAGTTGATATGAGGAAAAATTTTATATTAGCTTTCAAAACCACTCTCTGGATGAAATTGGCTTGGATTGGGTCACATTAATTAACAGGGGTGCCCATCCCCCAAAGTCAATGACGCATGAATCCCTCCCTCTCAAGATATTGTATTGCTCTCCTCTTCTTAAAAACAGTTTAAGTGGAAGTAGAGTTTTAAAAACGTAGATCATATAAAATTACATATTCTGCAGTCTGTTCCATGTTTCTCCTTATCTTCTGGTTTATAACTTTTCATTTCAAAAATGTACCTCCTCCCTCCCTTCCTACTCAAAAATTGTATGCTCCATAAAACACTCTTCTGGGCACCGGTGTGAATATATTTAGAATTTGATACACTTTAATTCGAATAGCAATATTTGTAATTGAAACCATCAATGGCCTAAGTTTTTCTATCAAGGACCAATACTGCTTTTTTCGAAGGATGGCGTATAAGCAGGTTATAATTCTCAGATTTCGCTCCAGTACATTGAAGGTACCAATTAAGCCTAACCTTAGCCAAAGCCTTCCATTTTGTTCCAGCTAAGTTCAAAAATCGGGGAGGGGCGAAGGGAAAGAGAATTTGATATTCAAATAGTAATGGTGTTGGAAGGATCAAATGTTGTTTGATGAGGTGAAGCGAAAAAAACTCGTCGAAATGAAACGATCACAAGATAAAATCTGAGGTGATAACTAAAAAGGCAAGGACAAAAAGTTTAAAAAAAAAAAATCGTGAAGTACTGTGTTTAATCCTTTAACACCCACTCTTCCTGGTTTGTGATGTTGTGGTCATGGAGGCTGTTAATGCGTTACCCGCTTTAATATTCTTGGGTCTTAATAAATGAATCTTGACTTTCCCACTTTGGTTAGAATAAGTTTAATACCTCTAGAACAGCCCAGCCCTTCCCCCTCCACTTTCTAAATACAATAACAAGTTCGCGTATCCTTCAACTTATCTTTATCAACTGCCTTCAAACGAGAGTGAAATGTTTTATTAACTTCCTTTAAGAATGCTATTTACTTAAGTAAATATGATTTCACCTTCGATAAAAATCTCGGTTCGATTGAATAAAAAAAATGAGCTAAACAAGGTATAGAGGTATGAGACAGTGAAATCGGCCATGTTCTCCGATCGCTACATATCACCAACCGAACCAGAACTAACAGCTGGAAGATCGAGGAAATAATAAAACCACTTGAACAAACAACTTGAGTTAACAACCGGAAATGTATCTCGATCTATATCGTCCTCATTGTCCCGGCTTCCCTTATTTAAAACACAGTATTTTCAGAACCAAACCGTCCATAACCAGAGAACAAGATTTAAAAAATATTATGCAGAGCACTGAGGAATGTCCATTGCTATTCGTTCAATTATAGCAGAATTGCGTTCGGCCATGTTCAAACAGATGTTTTCCTCAGAGGCAATTTATTATTAAAACTAAGACCAGATCGAGGCTAATTATCAACGGGAAAAAACGATTAAATCACTACTTTTGAAAGAAGTGTTTATTCCGCCTCTGAACAAGGGGTGTTATGAAAATATCGATATTTTCGTTCGATATTATGTATTTCGATATACATATTTAACTATCTATTTTTTTTTTAAATCTACAAAGACGTCGTATTTTCAGATGAAGTGCCCAGATATTTTCTGTCCTGAATGTTGTAAAGATAGAGAAGGGGGAGGGAAGAGATAGGGTATAAAGTCAAAGATTTTATTTTAGATGTATAATAAAAAAGTATACATTTTATGATTAATCATATGAAAGGAAAGGAAATTGTCAAACAAAGTTTTAAAACGGAACAATACTCAAGATATCGCAAGCTATGATATTTTTTGTTGTTTTGCATCCACTTTGAAGTCGTTTTCACTTGTGGGAGAGGCTATACAGATGTTTTTGATTTATAACTGTTAGGAAACAATAAACCATAGTATAATATTAATTCGGGGGACAAATAATGAGTTGTAGGGTAAGATCCGAAAAATATCTACTTTTTATCACATTTATGTACTTTTATGTAATTTCAACAGTTTTTATGTTATTTATGTGTTTTTTTTAAAATTTAAATGTTGAAATATTCACTAATCATCAGGAAATTAGCCGCAGAATAAAGGTACCAAGTCGTCTTATCGCAAGGGCAGTGAGAGTTTTTAAAGGATAATAGATATAAATAGTTGGGTGTTTTTCGTAGTTCACAAAATAGATGTTTTGCTTATTCTTTTATTTTTTCGTATGAAATAATAGGTGTTGCAGGATTTATGATCATCACAATGAAACCAGTCAAAAGATAACATTAATTGAAATATAAAATTGACAAATAAATAAAATATTAAAGATTTAAACGAGTTAAAAAATTTAAACTCCACTGAAATTAATTTTTTTTTGATCCGTTTAAAGATATTTATTGAAACTTAAAAAATTAGTAATTTGTCTAAATTAAATTAACGAAAATACTAATTATAAGTAGTTTTAAATTGAGTTGATTTTATGGCAAAAGTTAAAATAGAAAAATTATTTCACCGTCACCAGAATATCTTTCTTAGAAATAAAAAAAATAAAAAAAACGTAGGGTTGATTGACTATTGTTATTTCCTTAACTTATTACTCAAAATAATCTGTAATATTATAAGTATCCTTTGAATGAAATATTTGCAAAAACTTTTTCTAAGGAAACATGTTAACATAAAGGATTGCCATTAATGATCACATGTGGACCTTGCCAAACATGAACACTGGATAATGAAGTGCATAGAGGTAACAATACAATGGTAATAATTATGGGTTTATTGATGGCAAAAGACGACTTGCGGTTACCAATATATAGTAACAAGTATCGATAGTTCTAATAACGAAATCGACGTATTCATAATAAATCTATATCTAATTTCAGGACTTTATCTCATTGGGCAATATTAAAGCATCGTTTGCGATAACTTTTTCCCGGTGGAAGACCTGTAATACAGAATGAAGATATATTATTTTTCTGTTTTGGAATTCATTTTCAAATATCGATGCCAGGACGAAGCAGTTAGATATAGACTGATAGCATATTGCAACAGCTACTATTGCAATGTTAACAATAATACAATTATTAAGATATGATAAGATAAGAACTCACCACTTGATAGAGCTCGATCACACTGACAGAGCATGGGTCTACCATTTCCCCGCCGATTCTAGGCACCAAGTCCAGGCCCAATTTCCTGTGAACAATCGAAAATATTTTATTTATTTATTTATTCGTGATATTTACCACTGTATTCAAATAGAAATACATATAATAAATGTGATACAGAGAAAAAAAATGGCATGAAAAGACTTATAGACTATGGTCCTGATAAAATTTATAAACTGTGAGATCACGAGACATTCTTCTTTTCAGACGAATCGGAGAGTCATCAGGTATAAAAGAAGAAGCAAGGTTAGAAACATGAGGATTAGGATGGTTCCGAAGTTTATTATGGGAGGATTCGACCTCCTTCAATAAATTTAAAGTGGTTATGAAGTGCCAACATCCAGGCCTCAGAGTATGTGAGGAAATTCCATAAAAATTGTCAGACGATTTGAGACTTGCCGATGACCTTCATGACGAAGAACTAACACACCAAGACGAGGACCGAAATCATAGAACTATAAAGAAATTGAAGTTCATAAACCGAGGAATAAACTGAAAATTCAACGGTTGTACAATACAAACTAATCACTCCAGCTCAACACCCATTCTTCAAATATCGTTGTAGATTGTAATATATTTTATATTTTTTCTATACTATCATATAACTGAGTGAGTAGATCACTGTACAGCTATACTACGGACCCCAGACGGCAGGTAATATTGTATTCTGTTACTTTAGCTGTGGATTGACCCTGGGGTCGGGACACATCCCCTTAACCTCATACTCTCTTAATTTAATAATTAATTAAAGAAAACAAGCCGGAAATTGAGCATGATCTCGGTCAAATTACCTTCTTTACCAACAGACAGTATCTTACTAATTGTAAGGTAGAATTTTTTTAAAATTTTACTATTTATTTTTTTGTGATATTGATAGCGATAATGATAAAGATATCGACAAAACGCTCAAATATCTCAAGCTATCAAAATTAACACCAGCCGTTGCTAATGGCGATAACAACCGATAAGAGAAATAAAAAATAATAATTTTGTAACTTTATTGTTGTTCCGTAATTTATAATATAGATATTTTAGATATTTTCACTTCTCATCAACATTTTACTGTTGTTTATTTATCATATTTATAAGAAGAACTCACTTTTTTTTATCTTACGCTATTTTAGTTTCATCAGAATTTGCATAGGTTTATTTTTTATTATTCGGAATTATTCATTTTTATAATACACTTGTTCTGTGTAGTCCAGACGAAGACCTTCAAATTGGGCCGAAACGTACGAAGTGTTTTTACTACTATATAACCTATCTACCTCTCAGACACAAGCGGATGCAGAATTTAATTTTTGAGAGTGGGCTTTAGCCCGAAAGCTTTTTTTTCATATATATAACGATAATTAATTTGAGATGCTGTTTTAGTGATTCTTGAAGTCCTATTAGATATAATTACAATAATACTTTAAGAGATAGTTTTTAATATTTTTTCTATTTTACCATTATTATATTTTACCATTTGGATAGGAGGGAGGGGAGTTACTGTCCAAAATACCTCCCCCCCCCCCCCGTAGATCCGGCTGCGCTTTAATCCTCTAGATTTTCTAAAATAACAGAAAGCATTTACAACTGATGAAATATCGATATTATTGTCCTTTGTTCGATGAAGATGTGGGTTTTTTTTTTAATTTTTGTTGGCAGATCGTCGGGAATATTTTGCAAGTCCATCCTCCTCCAGCCTCACTATTATCGGAGTACTGTCCCGAGGGAGGGACCTGGGCTGAGGACAGGAAGGTGTCCGGACAGGCGGAGCCGGAAACAACCTCCAAAGATGTATCATAATATGGAAGACGTACGAACGGAAGCCACAGCCTGCCGCATCAAGGACACAGATAATGGCACCCATCTCGAGCCGTGACGAAGCCGGCTGGCCGGAACTATCGGAAGAAAGAGTTGGGCTGGATGAAGAACATACACTCTTCTATTTGCCGTCCTCGTGTACAAGGCCCGCTCCATCGACAGCGAACTGCTTCCATCTTCATAACCCTCCATCCTCTCGAGCAGGAGCCAGGCAAGAGGGAGGTTATGTTTTGGCCAGTGCTCCATTCCGAACCTAAACTTTCATTGAGTCACAGGCGGATCTACGGGGGGAGGGGCTTTCGGGCTGAAGCCTCCCCCCCAAATGGTAAAATATTACCATGTTTTTCAGAAAAAAATATTAAAAACTATCTCATAAAGTATTCTTGTTCGTATAATTATATTTAATAGGACTTCAAGAACCACTTAAACACCATTTCATATAGGTAATTAATTTCTTTCTCTTTTTTTCAAATTAATTATCGTTATATGTATATGAAAAAAAAAATCTTTCGGGCTGAAGCCTCCCCCAAAATTAAATTCTGGATCCGCTAGTGCATTGAGTTAATACATCTTTTTGTATTTATCATGTTTCTTTTCTTTTGTCGCTATCCATTCATTCAATGGATGAGAATATCAGATAGAAATCAGATAATTATGTGGAAAAAATATGACAACAACTTCCGCTTCAAAATAACATAAGTGATAAAGTATATAATATAAGATAGAGGTAGCACTTTTTAACAATAAAAGTAAAATTAAACAGCAGTCTATGAGCTGTGGTGGGGCTGGGAGTTGTGGCCTGGTCAACTGTAGCATGACGTGTACTTATGCCAAACACAAAGGTACCCAATTTGATAAATCAAATTATTATAAATTATATGATCAAACATGGAATAGTGGTGCCATTCTGTGGATGATGTAAACGCAGAGCAACGCATGGACTATCAAATTGTTAACAATAGGACAAAATTATAGCATCTTCTTGTGGATTCCGCTTTTTTCCGGATCATAAATAACTAAAGGAAATCTAAGTTTGAGAAACAGAGTCGCCATATTGAATCTACCAGTATAAGCTATTTGAAAAATATATTCAATGTAAACTCCATCAGTTCAGGAATGCTAATAGTGAAAGATATTTCCCACTTAACTCAAAGGTGGACAGGAGAGGTCTAAATCGAAACGTTCGAGAGCAGAACATTTTAACGGGTTCATGGATTTGGGGGCACATTTATACAATGTTAGAAGGGAGCTATATTTCTTTGGAATTTCAATTTTGGGATATTTTGAAACCAGGAAACATGGCAAAAACTAAACTACATTTTTTATAATTCTAAATTCACTTTCACCGTTTTTAAGAAGAGAGAGCAATGAAATTTCTCAGATAGGGGTTACATGGCATCGCCCAAGGGAGTAACCAAGATTGGTTTGTTCACTCCAGAATTCACATCCAATTATTCCATTTTTAAGCTTTAGTATTAGTTTTTGAATAAAACTAGTCCACAATTTCTCCCCTCGCATGTCCCGTTAATGCGTCATAAGCTGGCTAAGTTTTAACGCCCTAAAAAGGAAAACCTGCGGTTATGTTCTCATTCGATAAGCTGCTGCCAGAACTGTAGTAACATCATCATGGGGATTTACCATCTACATGAGTGAGCTTCTGAAAAGTCGTGTATTACTGTAACAATTATATTTATATATTCAAGTTGTAAAATTAATATATCTGCTGGATAACTTTTCTCTGCTCTTCTTCACACCTTGAATCGTGCTTAAATAAAGTAGCTGAGATAAATGGTTATCATTTCAAAAACGAGATGTGTAGTTAGGTTCTTCTGTAGCAAACGGGAACCTATGTAATTTTTCTAATAGATAATTTATTATTTTATAACCACAAGTATATATATATATATATATAATTATTTATATACAGGTTCTTACTTGCTACTGAACAAACTAACATTTTTTGGATAATACTTTTATGGGATAATACCTTAGCCAGTTCCTAAAGGCCGAACTGTTGGATAATGATATTATGGAAACGTGGCGGAACGTAACCGACCTTTTTGTGTTCTTGGTTTCTCAATAATTCTCTTGCTATATCTTTTAGAGAAAAATTTCATTCAGGTGATTTATGGTATCTTCTTGGACGTTACAAATAACAACCAACTTTTTTTTTCCTTATTGAAATTTACAACTGTATTAAATGATAAATACAACAAGTAAATATGAAACAAGTAACATGACATGTACAACATAAAGAGAAACTACCTATTGAAAGCACTCCAATTATATTTTTATATTAGAAGATCCCGAGGCCATCTTCTTTTCAGACGCCTCGAAGGGTTATCAGGAATCGAAGAGGAAGCAAGGTTGAAAACGAGAGGGTTCGGATGGTTCAGAAGTTTATTATGGAAGAATAGATATCTGGATTGACCTAAATCGGAAACATATGGTACATTAAGGTCATTATGGATCATTTTATTTGTGACAAAGTAGGGAGCATTGAGGATTTTTGATTGTAGGGATTGGATACGAGAGGAATTTGATGGTTTAGTAGAGCCCCAAATCTCGATCCCGTAAGTCCAAAAAGGCCTTATTATAGTAATATATTTGAGTTTTTTGTAAATAGTTGGAAGTTAGAGCGTTTGTCTAGTAAGTGCTGCAGTAGTCGAAAACGTCGGGCAGTTTCTAGTCGTTTCAGTATGGTATGGGGGTTCCAAGTGAGTCGTTTGTCCAGGTGAAGTCCTAGGCATCGAATTTATTCAACAGGGATAAGTGGACTATTGTTGAAGGATACTGTAAGGCAGCAAAAACCAACTTAAATACACTTTGTTTCCATTTTATGCCAATAAGTTGGATAGATGATAACTTTTCGTAAATCATTTTATTCAATCGCCTTAAGAGACTAGTCTCCAGATATTACTTCAAAAATAACCTTTCTGTCGACATGAAGCACTAGCGGATCCAGAAATTAATTTTTTTTTGGGGGGAGCTTCAGCTCGAAAGATTTTTTTTTTCATATACATATAACGATAATTAATTTGAAAAAAAAGAAAGAAATTAACTACCTATTCGAAATGGTGTATAAGTAGTTCCTGAAGTCCTATTAAATCTAATTACAAGAACAAGAATACTTTAAGAGGTAGTTTTTAATATTTTTTTCTGTAAAACATGGTTATATTTTACCATTTACATTTACCATTCAGCCCGAAAGCCCCCCCCCTTATTTTTTTCAGTAATCGTTTTATAGTATGAGATATTTCCCCATGATTTTTCATGTAAAGTAGTTATATGTTTTTCCAATCCATATTTATAAGTGACAACCTTCATATTCCATCTTCTAAAATTTGAAAACCTTTAAAATAAACTATTGCTTTAATTATTTTAATGAAAAAGTAAATATTATGGCTCAAAACATTAAGTTTGCAACTTATAAATACGGATCAATTCATATGACAGTGATTTGAGGGAAAAAAAAAACAAAAAAAAAACAGTTTCATAATCACTTTACATGAAAAATATTTGAAAATCATTATTTTTCATTTTTTTATTTTATAAATAAAAAGCGCATTTAGGCGATTATATTTATAAAAATACATCTCAGATCATGGAAAAATAAGAAATAAAAGCTTTGCAACATTTAATTATACACATTTTGCTGAAAACAGGGGTACTTATATTTGATAGGATAGAAAATCACTTTTTTATACAACTTGAGATGAATTTCAAGTTTTTCTCTAATAAACCTCAACTTAATTAATATTAATTTAATGCTTATTAAACGAGGATGTTTATCTAAAAGTGGGATATCAGTAGTATAGTTAAATGATGAAAAAAAAATTTATGATTTTTTAAAAGAAAAAACTTTTCTTAGTTAAGCCGCTTTAAAACCCTCTTTAAATGGTTTTAAGAACAAAACAATCTATTTTTACGTGAAGTAAATTTATCTAGTTTGCAGTGAAGTAATTATTAATTACTTAAAATAAGTATTTCTTTAATTATCGCTTCCTATTCAACAATAAGCGAGGCTTACTTAAAAAAAACACGAAACTTAGATTTCCTACTTATGTGCCGAAAATTGGCTTATTGTTTATATAAACTTTTTGTGGCTCTTGAAGTGTGCTGTTACCCCTATTAAAATGTTTCTCTATTTATGGAACATCCTTTAAAATGTCCACTTAGTCAATTGTTACGAAAAGGATTTCGAGATATGAAAACACAGCATTTTTTCATTTACAGTTTACAAGTTAACATGGAAGTATTTTTCACTATATAAATGAGGTTTGAAGCCTGCAGGTTCGTGCAAGCTAAATAGAGAGAACAATATCCTGGAAGATTTACAACTTTAACGAAGCCCCTTTGTCCCCCTTGTAGAAAGCCCACTCGAGGCCGAAGGTAGCCGATCTTTGCCGAGCAGACACGAAGCCTGAACCCCCACCCCGCCGTGCAACAGGTGGCTTCAGTCGGTTCGTGGCGGGTGAGCAGTTTGGTCGTGTTAGTTCCTTTAGAGTTAATTCAGTGCCTTGATTGTTCCTTCAGCGGTGTTTTCAGGAGTTGGGGACTTGGAATCCGGACTGCAACGCTACATATCTACATAAATACTACAACAGGTATAATGAAATAAATTCAATCCTTCTTTATACAGGCATCTTTCTTTCTCTAACAGTCCTCATTTCTTTGTCTACTATTTGAAATATGCATAATTAATGTACATCCTTTTGTTTAACATTTCCATGTATTTAGGTCAATAAGGTACAGTTTTAAGTTGACAAGAAGCGTGCTCTTACTTCTTGAACCGAACTCCTTCCTCGACAATAACGAGCACAGTGGTCTTCAACTTCTTGTTCATTTAACTCGAGATAGGTTTATGTTTTAACAAACAAGCAATGAGATGTTTTCTTTCAAATGGGCGGGGCTCTTCTAATGTTGAATAGTCTTAAACATTAACAAATTCTCCTGTTTATTTTGTAGTGGCAATATCTTGATAGATTCCTGTAAATTTCTTTAATTTTGTCAGAAACGTTTGATGAAAACAGATGATTTAAGTATTCTCTACTTGAAGGGTGTTCGAAATCCGTGCGCTTGCCTCAAGACACGAGCAACAACCGGTTTTGCCCCGCCATAAGGTCCCTGTGGTAACACAGCCAAGTCTTTGTGTCTGTGTCTCAGCTCTCCTAGCGACTGAGGCATTATTTATCTTATTACAACTGTACAAAGCAGTTCTAAATAATAGAGCTCTCTAAAAACTATTAGTAATTAGCAGCTTAAATTTTGAGTCACTATTCTATAACAAAAAAATAACGAGTATAGTATTCGGTCTCTGTCATCATTAAAATATATATCTTCAACATTAAAACCATGATTTGGTTATGTGGTACGGTAAATAAAACAATGAGTTAAATAGTATAAGTTTTATCATTTTATAAACACGTAGCCCAATTTATGTTGTTTTTATTCACAAAGAATAGATTTTACTTAAATATTAAATTCAATAATATTTTTTTACTCTAGTTCAACTCTGAGATGCCTATCATGAATATACATTACTGTAAGTGCATTGACGTTTCGATGAAACAGTAGGTATAAGAATCTATTTAAAGTTATTTTATTTAAGTTAAATTGTCAAGATTTCTTCACATTAGACGCGGTGTGAAAAGTATTATACCGAAAATACTCAATAACTATCATATCATTACCTATTTCATGCTCTTGCTATTTAAGCTATTTTTTTAGAAAATATATAAAATTTGGAGAAATAGAAGTTAATAAATATTTATAACATCATTCATAAATGCACACCAAACCTTATTCGATTTTTTTTTTTACTTCCAGAAGAGGTTTTGAATATAATATTTGTCTTTAACATGGTGAAATTTTCAAGGCAATACGTTATTTTTATGAGAATACTTTTTTATTTTTTTGAACTGTTTAAAATAAATTCCAAACTATAGGTATTGCAATTAAAGTTTATGCTGATGTGAACGTATTCGATAGATCGATAAATATAAATTAATATATATATATATATATGCATGAATTATGATGGGATTACGCTGGTTATAGAATGGGCTCCTTACAATAACATCTCTGCAATATGGATGACAATTTTATATAAATATATTTATTATACCGGATTAATAATTGCCTGTCGTAGATATATTCAAGATGAGTTCATTGAGGTGTCAAGCCAAACAAACAAATCATTTATTTATATTATTATAATTTATTTATTTTTACTTTTTTCTTTGTTTGATTGGACTCCCCAACCAACTTCTCTTCGACACACATATATACGTGTGTGTGTATATACACATATACGAACTGATGAATTGAGTGCGTACACTGTAGTTCTTTATGTAAAGCGAATTCGGACAGAAGATTAGATAAAACCCTTCTACCAGAAAACGAGGGTTGACTGACAGCTCGGTTCCTTCTTCCATTACTTAAAACGACAAACGAACCAAAAATATTTTAAAGTAATATATTAAATTTATTCACAATAATCTGTATTGAAACTCAATTAAGCTGTACTAATTTGAAAACTTAATATTATGATAAAGTAAACGTTCTTTTTCACGCAATGAATCTATTGCGGGTTTAAAGTTAAAATATATTTTTATTTAAAAAACAGCAACATATTTTATAGAAAAACCTTTATATCAACTATAAACGTATGATGGTAAACGTGTTTACAAATATTAGTGAACAGAATCTGGCATATTCTTTATACAAATCTCAGGTCGGGTCGTGCTTGCAAGTTCAACGAACAAGGAATTTAACTCGACGAAAAGGAGAAATCTTTAACAAAGAAAAAGAAACCAGTTTAATGAATTCGCCGAACTGCCACTTCGATAAGTGAGGACCTAATTCTTTGAACAGTTAGGTGGAGGATGTGTTGAAATTTTAAAAAAAGAATTGTCACACATATGTATGTAATAATTTATGTACATTACAGGATGATCTCCTCCCCCAAAATGGTAAAATATATAGAAAAAGATATTAAATATATATCTTAAAGTATTATTTTTCGTGTAATTACATTTAATATAACTTCAAGAATCACTTAAACACCATGTCATATAGGTAGTTAGTTTCTTTCTTTCTTTTTTTTGAAATTAATGATGATTATATATATGAAAGAAAATCTTACGTGCTGAAGCCCCTCCCAAAAAATTAAATTCTGGATCCGCAAGTGATGTAGAAATATATTTATACAAAATTTCTGAACTATGTGAAGCGTCAAGCCCATTCCTCGACTGCAGGGCAGTAATTATTTATTCCTTTTTGTGGAATAAATTAATAAGTTTTTTTTTAACCGTCTGAAATATTTGCCCTATTGTAACTTCCTCGATACAGTAATGGGTTTTCTGTTAATAGAACTAACAAATTATCTTGAAAGGCAATTCAAGCAATATTGCATTTAAACCAGAGCTCTGTGAACAACGGCTGCATTGTCTGCAACAATAATTAGATTTCTAACAAAGAATAGCTCAGATAGTGGTATGGATAATGTCTTCATTCATCACTGGCCTGTTCGAGTTTAATTAAAGGCAAAAACAATTTTTTTAATTTATAATGTTGGTCTAGATTTTTATAGGCGCAAGCAATAACCATTACAGATAATTGCTTATTGTACTCCAAAACAATAAACCCCTTCATAGGAACAGTCGAAGACTTCAACTTTGGAACCAATATGTTGATTCTGTTCTTGAGGAATCGAAACCAACCCAAAATTGCATCTCATTAAAATTCCTCGACTAAACAATATTTGCCAACTTCATGAAGCACCAAACAATACATATACTCAATAAATATCATACATACAATACATATGAGTGGCTATTGTACTATGCAATGGTTCTTTACTCATTTAGATCTCAGATTATTAGATCAATCATAAAGTAAAACTTAATTAGACGGCTGAAGAGAAGATTTCTCAGATTTTCAGTCAAAATAAATTAATTATATTTATTTATCTTCCCCATGTACCAACGTTTCGGCCTTCATCAGGGGTATCCACTCGAAAGTTTCAGGCGAATTTGACGAAAGATTTCGAGTAGATCGCCCGAATTGCCTTGATGAAGGCCGAAAAAACGCTGGCACGAAGGGAATAAAAATTAATACAATTTATTTATTTAACTTATATAAATATCAAATATTAAATTATATTTATTTTTTTCCGACGTTTCCGCATAAAGTTCCGGTCTTCATCATGGTTAAGAAAAACCAAATAGCAATAGGCATGAGAAACTATTAACATTAAAAAGAAAATAATAATAAATAATTATTGAATAATAATTATTATTTTCGTTTTAATGATAATAATTTCTCATATTGTTATCTGTTTTTTCTTAGCCCAGATGAAGACCGAAAATTTATGCCGAAACGTCGGAAAAAAATAAATATAATTTAATATTTGACCGTTGCATCATAAGGGAAGGAGATGGTGCGGTGTGGCGGTCATAAATAGGCTAAATAGTGGCAAAACTATTTTATTAAAAGCCTATTTAGGCTTATAATTAACAAATAATAATAATAAATTATAGGCTTTAAATACAATAATTTTGCCACTATTTAGCCTATTTATGACCGCCACCCCGGACCATCTCCTTGTTTTATAAATATAATTTGTATATTTCTACATTTATTTTTTGCTGAACACTCCAACCAATCTTCTCTTCAATGCTACAAATGTGATGTTATTTTCGTCTAATGGTCGGTCCGTATGGCACTCGTCAATACTTAGCTGATAGGTAAAACATATTACAACAAATAAAAATATCTTTGAAAATATCACATAACGCTATTCATAAAAAAAATTATGTCCATTTTGTACATATGGACAACATGTACATTATGTACATTTTGTATGTGTTAAAGGAAGCCAATTTGTCTTCCATAACTTTGAACTATTAAAATTTGTTTCTGTTACTAAATCTGTACCTCAGAAAGTAGCGACACGAAGTCACTGCTTTGTATTTCTTGAGGGCCTGTCAAGTCAGCCAATTTTCCATAACTTTCATCTATTAAATATGTTTCTTAGTAACTAAATTATCTAATAAAAATGGATATGTTGAGTAACATGGCTCTGGCTGATCAATTTTGTTTTTTAAAATATTCTCTTTCTTAATCTCAATATTACATGAACAACATAACATGATATACGGAGCCATTATGCTCGCTCACAGCTAAAAGAGACAAGTTGCCCTCCAAGAACTTGATGGAAGATAATTCTGGTTATCCTCCTGCTCATCGGAGGGGAATACCAGAAGGATCGTGTGGTAATTCGGTTCTGACTCAGGCGAACGGCCTTTCCTTTCACCGCGAAGGACTAAGGACTCGGGGAGGGGAGAATAGGGTGGAATATCTTCAGGATAATTTCCTTCCCACGAATATATTTATTTTTACAATGATCCTGTCTTTATCCATTTTAGGCAGTCAAATAAAAAATAAATTGTATTTTATATCCACCAGACCTGGGACATATGTATTTCAAAATACAGTGCATTTTATAATTACAAAGTATTCTAATTGTTTTTCAACAAAATACTTTCTGGTGGACGATCACCATATAAAGTAGGGAATCTACTCTATTTCGTAATTTATTTTGAGTATTTAAAATACAAAAGAAAATATATGTATTTTAGTATTTAGGAAATAAAATGTAAATATATTTTTTGTGTTTTAAAAAGAAAATACAGCTACAAACGATTTTTTAATATTTTAAATATTCTTTATTAGAAATACTCTTAAGTCTGATTTCCAAGATACTAAAATACAAACAATGTATTTTAAATACAGAAAATAAATTACCAAATAGACTAGGTTCTCTATATTATGAGCTAATCGTCCACAAGTAAGTTGCATTTGTATTTTTAGCTTTTAATTTAAAAAATTAAAATAAACTGTATTTTAAAATAATAATTAAATTATTTTTTTCCAAGTCTGGTCCTTATTTATTATTTCTATAAAAACACATTTTTGATGAAAAAAGTGGCGGCAAAATCAAATTTCCCTTTATGAAAATTCCTTCCTATGAAAAATTTTGATTTCGATCCAGTCTACAAGAAATGATTATTCCTGTATTGTCCATATATTTATTTCAATATATTAACATTTGTTTTTCATTATTCATAAAATTTAAAATTGTACAAAAATAAATACACATCCAGTTAACCTGGTACAGAGAA